TTCGCAACTCCCTGCCGATAGATGAGCGCGAGCACTTTGGGCAGCACAAGACTGCACAGGCACTGTACACTGCTGTCGTTGCCCGCTACTCCTCACCGGCCTCTGCCGCACTAGGCCGTCTCTCTCTTCCCTACTTGTTCCCCGACTTAGCCTCTTTGCACACAGTCGCTGACCTCATTACGCACCTCCGCACTAGTGAGGCTCGCTTCCGCGCCGCCATGCCTGATGAGTTCCTTGCCAAGAACCCACCCCCACTCTAGCTCACTCTCTACCACCTAGTCACCCGCCTCCCTGACACTCTGCGTTCAGTCAAGGACCACTTCTTAGCTCGCTGCCCCACTGAGCTCACCATTGCCCTCCTCGAGAAGGAACTCCTTGCAGCTGAGGAACTCTCAGCACGGCGGGGGGGGGGGGGGGGGGGGGGGGGGGGGGGTGCTAGCTGCACGTACGTCATTCGCACTGGTGACCGCACTGGTCAGCCCTGTGGGGGACTGCACGCCACACAGCCCTGCTTCGCTCGTCTCAATGACGCTTGGCGTGTTCACTTCCCTCAGGCCACTGAGCTGCCCCGCTGGGTTGATCTCCTGAAGAAGGGGATTGATATCTATGCTCTAGACTTTGATGCTATTCTCACTGCTATGTATGTGATGTCTACTAGTGGAGAGGGTGCGGAGTACCTGTGTGTGCTGCCCGACCCGAGCATTAGGACTAGTGCGTCTGCCGCTCCAGGTACTCGCGTGTCTGCTACCCCAGGTGCTGGTGAGGCAGCTGCGCTAGGTGCTTGTGCGTCTGCCCCCCCTGGTACTGAGTCGACGGCAGCACTGCACACCTTCACACTGGACTCAGGTGCTTCTCGCTGCTTCTTTCGTGACCGCACTGCCCTTGAGCCGCTTGCTCGGCCAGTTGCTGTCTCCCTCGCTGACCCCTTTGGGGGTCCAGTCATTGCGACCTCCTCCACTGTCCTTCCCTGTCCTGCGGTCCCGTCGGGCACACTGTCAGGTCTCCACCTCCCCTTGTTCTCTACTAACTTGGTGGCAGGTAGTGCACTCCAGGACGGGGGTGTTCACCAGTTCACCCCTGCCTACGAACGCGTGACACACTACACGTGTGCTCGTACGGGCCGCCACTTGGCTACCTTCACTCGGCAGCCGGGGTCGGACCTGTACACACTGACCACTGAGTCCCCTCAGGTCGCTGCGTCTGCGTCTGCGTCCGCGTCAGGTCAGCTGTCTGCCCCCTGCTCGTGTCGCTCTCTGGCGCACGAGACTGTCCTCTGGCACCACCGACTTGGCCACCCGTCTGTGCAGCGCCTTCGTGCCATGCACTCCCGGTACCTTGTCTCCGGTCTTCCCAGAGTCCTCCCTCCCCTCCCACCCTCGCCTGCTCCTCCCTGTCTTCCCTGCGTTGAGGGGCGGCAGCGCGCTGCTCCTCATTCCTCCTCGTTTCTCCCGACGACTGCTCCCTTGCAGACGCTCCACATGGACGTGTGGGGCCCGCGTCCGTTGTCAGGGTCAGGAGAGGTACTTCCTGATAGTTGTTGACGACTACTCGCGCTACACCACGGTCTTCCCCTTGCACACCAAGGGTGAGGTTCCTGATGTCTTGATCCCTTTGATCCGCAGAGCCCGTCTCCAGCTCAGCGAGCGTTTCCACTCGGACTTTCCTGTCCTGCGCTTGCACTTTGACAGAGGTGGGGAGTTCTCCTCCGACCTCTTGGCAGCCTACTGTGCTGAGCACGGCATTGAGCAGTCGTTCACGCTTCCGGCCTCTCCACAGCAGAATGGGATTACAGAGCGCCGCATTGGCCTGGTCATGGAGGTTGCCCGTACCTCCTTGATCCATGCGGCTGCCTCCCACTTTCTGTGGCCGTTTGCGGTCCGGTACGCTGCGCATCAACTCAACCTCTGGCCCCGGTGTCTCCTTGCCGGAGACCTCGCCCACACTGCTGTGGACGGGGGAGGTTGGCGATGCGTCGCGTTTCCGGGTCTGGGGATCTCGAGCTTTTGTCCGCGATACGTCTGCGGACAAGTTCTCCTCCCGTGCTGTTCCCTGCGTCTTCCTCAGCTTTGTCCCGGACGCGCCTGGTTGGCAGTTTTACCACGCCACCTCGCGCCGAGTCTTGCCCTCTAAGGACGTCACTTTTGACGAGTCCGTCCCCTACTACCGCCTCTTCCCCTACCGCACTGCCCCGCTCCCCCCCCCGCCTCTCTTCCTCACGCTAGGTGCTGCTGTCGTAGACCCCCTCCCCCCTCAGAGTGCCGCTCCCTCAGGTGTGTCTGAGGTAGACCCGGTTGAGCCTGTTGAGGTAGCTGACGACTCTCGTCCTGCTGTGGGTGCGGAGCCTGGGGGTGCTGAGCCTGGGGGTGCGGAGCCTGGGGGTGCTGAGCCTGGGGGTGCGGAGCCTGGGGGTGCGGAGCCTAGGGGTGCGGGGCCTGGGGGTGCGGAGCCTGGGGGTGCTGAACCTTGGGGTGCGGAGCCTGGGGGTGCTGAGCCTGGGAGTACTGAGCCTGGGGGTGCTGAGCCGCAGAGTCCGGAGTCTGGGGGTTCTGAGTCTGGAGGTCCTGAGCCTGAGGGTCCTACACCTGGCGGAGCCCTCTCCTCGGAGCAGCTGCGTGAGTGGTACTTCCAGTACTGCAGCCTCAGGAGAGGTACCTCTGGAGCCAGGCGTACTACTGGGACAGGTGCTAGTGCTTCTCCTCCTAGCCGGGAGCTCCCCTCCCGTGAGCGGATCCGTGAGTGGTACGAGCGGCGCTGCACTCTTCGGAGTGGCGCGCCTGGTGTCGCGGACCCCGCTGCTGCTGCTGGTGCTACTGGTGCTGGAGACTCTACTGGTTCTGTTGGTGCTGCGGCCCCAGAGGTTGGAGCTGTTTCTGGTGCTGCAGACCCGGGCGTTGGAGCTACGGCTGGTGCTGCGGACCCGGCCGCTAGTGCTGCTGCTGGTGCTGAGGACCCGGGCGTTGGAGCTGCTGCTGGTACTGAGGACCCGGGCGTTGGAGCTGCTGCTGGTGCTGAGGACCCTGGAGCTGGTGCTGCTGCTGGTGCTGTGGAGTCGGGCGTTGGAGCTGCTGCTGGTGCGGAGGACCCTGGTGCTGGTGTCTCTACTGGTTCTGCCGAGGTACAGTGATGTGGAACAGTGCCACACTGTCCCCAACCACCAAGGGTCTCGAAACTACCCTTCACAAGGGCATACACTAACTGAAATGTTACACTATAAAAGGTAACTATCTTCACTATCTTGAGGTGTACCCTTTTGGCGAGCTTCGAAATCTCTTGAAGCTTGCAACCAAGGCTCGGGTTCTTCATCACAAACTCATCCTCGAGTTCTTGATGGGTATGCTGCACACACCTGCGACACGCCGAAGTTCGACAAGCGACAAAATAGAAACCGCGCACGACAAAATAGGAACTGCGCGGAACACACAAAATGACCGCGTTACACGCGACTAGCAATAATTCGCTATAGACTTGACACACACACACTCGACATCATGACCCATCATGCACACAATATTATGAGCATGAAATATATATTTATTTCATACACTCATTCCATTCCATGCACACACGCATGCACGCACACGGACAACAAGCCGAGTGCAAACCGTAGGGTTGCACCAACACTTTTGAGTCGACTCAAAAGGCATGGCGGCATGGCAGGCGCATGAATGATGGCGACTTGGCTATTCTGCATGTGCAAGCACGGGGATAGGGAGTGAGAGAGATGAAGGGTGGAGGGTGGGAGAAAGAAGACATGTGTTAGAGTGAGAAGGCAACGAGAGCAACGCAGACATGAACAATCGAGAAAAGTGAAATCCTGCTTGGCACTCGTATGGCTGCCTTGGATCTGCCATGCCCTCCTGCGATTCCCCACTACTTAACACGCTTGCACTGCTGCCTCCTGTGTGCGCCCGTTTTGCCTCCAACCTCCCGAGCACAGGGGCAGAACCGAGAGCTGTGAAATGAGGGGTGTGTTTTGAGTCGTCTCTCCAATCTCTCCAACACAAGGGCAGAACTAAGAGCTAAGAGATCAGGGTAAGTGTGTGATTGAGGCTAGAGAGAAGGGGAGTGTCTGTGTGAACCGCGAGGGAAGGGGAGTGCCTGTGTGAACCGGGAGAGATGAGGGTGTGAGGGAGAGGCCGACAAGGGAAGGAAGGCTTGAGGGAGGGCAGGACAAGGTGAAAAAACGGCCGAAATTTTGAAATGTTGACGTATAATACGACATTGTAAGTTTTTTTTGTGTTGTGAAAACTGTCGTTTTTTTACAGCCGAACTTTTGAAACCAATTGGTGCGTGCATGCGTAGCTGTGCGCGCGTGGCGCGGGGCAGCGGGGCGCGCGTCGCGCTGGGCAGGGCAGCGCAAACGCGTGGGGCAGGGCAGCGCACGGCGTGCAGGGCAGCGCAAAGGCGCGGGGCATGGCAGGGCACGGCGAGCAGGGCAGCGCGACGGGTTCAGCAAAAACAGCAGAAAATACGCCAGCCAGAAATTCCGCGCTAGCAGGAGAAAAAGCCGACATGTATGATGGCGGATTTGGTGAGCCCATCAAAGTAGGTCCTAGGTAGAACCTTGCTCTGATACCATGTTGAAATATCCTTAGTAGGCTATGACTTAGGTTAGGAGAAAGGTGAGCTAGGGAAGTAGTGAGAGAAATCTTGGCCAAGAAAAGAGAGGCTCGCTATAGCATGAGATACAAGATATAGCGAAAGCATAGCAAGTGTGCACCACCAACAATAGGCAGAATGACTACAGTACGATCTAACCGCAAGCAGTTATACAACAGATATATATACTATATCTTGACAGGTGAGGTTGCGTGCAGCAGTATGGGAGTGGGTTGGTTAGACGCGTGGGTTGTACCGTGGGTAGTGTAGTGTGTCGTATAGACATGCTTGCTTACCGTAGTGGCAGGTCAATATCCCGACAGCAAGCACAGTTGCATGTGAGCGGGGTTTTTGCCCCTCCATTCTCATTTCTTTCCTCTTGACTTGACACCAGCTTTGCTTCATGTACAAGACATGCATGCACGCCACTTGCTATCAGCATCTCTCACCCTCATCCCACTAGCATTGCTCAATGCAGCTATCACATGCCGCGTCGTGGGGAGCGTGTCCCGCACACTAGGCAGGCGGAACGGCACTCGCTGTGTCCTCTCAAACAGCCATGGAGTCAAAACACGCTTGAAATCATCAAAGCTAGTGGCTATTAGTGCTTCCCAATCCACCTGTTGTGGTTTGGTCGGGGGTGGAGTGGGGTGAAGGAGGATATGCTGATCAGCCACCGATTCACGTGCAGAAGTGGAAAGGTGAAAATTAAGGCTCCACCAGCAGCATTTAGAAGCAAGAAGAAAATGATGGATGGATGCAAACATGTTGCTCGAACAGCAGCAATCGGAATGAGACCTGGGAGAGGAAGGAAGAGGCGGTACAGAGTCCTATGCAGCATCGACTCACGAGGAGGTCTCGAGGAACATGCGTAGTGGTTTGCATGTCAGCAGCCATGGAGAGGCCAAGGATGGACATGAGACCCACCATGGCCGACCCGCGAGACAGCGGCATCAGCTGGAACCTGCAGGTCACAGAGAGGGGCGTGTGGACGGGTCCAGGATACACAAGAACAACGGGAGTCATGTCAACAGCCGTGGAGAGGCTGAGGATGGACATGAGACCCACCATGGCCGACCCACGAGACAGCGGCATTAGTCAGCGGCATCAGTCAGTGGCATCAGCGTGCGTGTGTGTGTGTGTGTGTGTGTGTGTGTGTGTGTGTGTGTGTGTGTGTGTGTGTGTGTGTGTGTGTGTGTGTGTGTGTGTGTGTGTGTATGTATGTGTATGTGTGTGTGTGTATGTGTGTGTGTGTGTGTATGTGTATGTGTGTGTGTGTGTGTGTGTGTGTGTGTGTGTGTGTGTGTGTGTGTGTGTGTGTGTGTGTGTGTGTGTGTGTGTGTGTGTGTGTGTGTGTGTGTGTGTGTGTGTGTGTGTGTGTGTGTGTGTGTGTGTGTGTGTGTGTGTGTGTGTGTGTGTGTGTGTGTGTGTGTGTGTGTGTGTGTGTGTGTGTGTGTGTGTGTGTGTGTGTGTGTGTGTGTGTGTGTGTGTGTGTGTGTGTGTGTGTGTGTGTGTGTGTGTGTGTGTGTGTGTGTGTGTGTGTGTGTGTGTGTGTGTGTGTGTGTGTGTGTGTGTGTGTGTGTGTGTGTGTGTGTGTGTGTGTGTGTGTGTGTGTGTGTGTGTGTGTGTGTGTGTGTGTGTGTGTGTGTGTGTGTGTGCGTGTGCATGTGCGTGTCCGTGTGCGTGTGCATGAGCGTGAGCATGAGCGTGCGCGTGCGTGTGCGTGTGGGTGTGCGTGTGGGTGTGTGTGTGTGTGTGTGTGTGTGTGTGTGTGTGTGTGTGTGTGTGTGTGTGTGTGTGTGTGTGTGTATGTGTGTGTGTGTGTGTGTGTGTGTGTGTGTGTGTGTGTGTGTGTGTGTGTGTGTGTGTGTGTGTGTGTGTGTGTGTGTGTGTGTGTGTGTGTGTGTGTGTGTGTGTGTGTGTGTGTGTGTGTGTGTGTGTGTGTGTGTGTGTGTGTGTGTGTGTGTGTGTGTGTGTGTGTGTGTGTGTGTGTGTGTGTGTGTGTGTGTGTGTGTGTGTATCTTTCTTGGGTTGTACTTTAGAGGCGCTTCAACAGCAGGCGATGGCGAGAATCTGATCATGTATGCGCCGCTGGTGATATCATACGGGTGGCCAGCAGGCAGACCCACCAGTAGTAGGCGATGGCAAGGATCTGATCCTGGATGCGCTGGCAGTACACGTACTAAAGGATGCCCATGTGGCCTGGCTGGTGTGAGGAGGACCCACCAGTAGTAGGCGATGGCGATGATCTGATCCTGGATGCGCTCGCGGTACGCCTGTGGTGACGTGGCCTTGGTGCCGTGGTCCAGTGCAGCCGCCATGAAGCCCTGCCACGCCGCTGTGAGCTCCGAGTCGAATGCATTCCACCGCGTTGAGTCGATGGGGGTCACTGTCTCAAAGTCCACTGCTAAGGGACCGAGGGCGGAGGGAGGGAGGGGAGAACGGGGTGTGTGATGGGATGAGAACTGGTGCGGTGGTCCAGTGCGGCTGTCATGACGCCCTGCCACGCCGCTGTGAGCTCCGAGTCAAATAAATTCCACCGCGCCGCGTCGACTGTCGTTGGGGTTCAGCGCGTTGAGTCGATGGGGGTCACTGTGTCAAAGTCCACTGCCAGGGGGCTGGGTGGATGGGGGAGTGTTGATGGGGAGTGGGTGTGGTGGAATGGGGAGAAGAGAGAGGGGAAAGACGTGGTCCAGTGCGGCCTCCATGACGCCCTGCCACGCCGCTGTGACCTCCGAATCAAATGCATTCCACCACGCCGAGTCTACTGTGGTGAACATGTCAGAGTCCCTTGCCAACGGGCTGGAAGAGGGGGGGTTGATGGGTGAATGTGATGTGAATATGAGAGGAGAGTGTGGAGCCGCAGTCTACCTCCCCTGGTGTACTTTGGCGCACGTGTCAAAGCCCCCTGCAAACAAGCTGGGAGAAAAGAGGGTGGAAGATGATGGGGTGGTGATGATGTGATTGGTAGAGGAGAGGAGAAAGGGAACGGGTAAGGAGAAGAGGGCAAGGGGTGGATTCGAGTGTACAGATATATGTACGGGTGCATGTGTGTTGTGTATATGTCCATGTGTGCATGTGTGCATGGCGTGTGCAAGAACCACACGACTCACCGTTTTTGTAATTTGAACTCTGTGCCGCCCAAATCTTTCCTGCACGGGAGGGTGGGCGGGAAGGGGCAATCAATGAGGATTAAGAGCCAGAACAGGTGCATGCAGCTGGCATGGGAGGTAGGGGGAAGGGTGCAGATGAGAGCATGAAAGCATCTTGAGCGTGAAAGCATCTTGAGCGTGAAAGCATCTTGAGCATGAAAGCATCTTGAGCATGAAAGCATCTTGAGCATGAAAGCATCTTGAGCATGAAAGCATCTTGAGCATGAAAGCATCTTGAGCATGAAAGCATCTTGAGCGTGAAAGCATCTTGAGCATGAAAGAATCTTGAGCATGAAAGCATCTTGAGCATGAAAGCATCTTGAGAATCAAAACATCTTGAGCGTGAAAGCATCTTGAGCGTGAAAGCATCTTGAGCGTGAAAGCATCTTGAGCATGAAAGCATCTTGAGCATGAAAGAATCTTGAGTGTGAAAGCATCTTGAGCATGAAAGCATCTTGAGAGTGATGTGGCGTGCTGTAGCATGGCAGACGCACTAACCCTGGGAATGCCCGGCTGTAGCATGGCAGACGCACGTAGAAGTCCCGGCCAATCACGTTGAAGAGCCCCTTGTGATTCTCCGCTCCTTCCAGCTGTTGGAATGTTCAGAGAATGTTCAGGGAGCGTTGGTAGTAGCACTTTAGTCCCACTGTAAAACGAGTCGCACTGAACAGATGGGGTCCATGGGAGCATAGGGCCAATGCGCCATGGGAGGCATGGCAGGCATGTGAAAGGGTGGTATGGTTGACATGAGAGTACCACCTGGGCGCCGAAGGTGGAGCGAGGCACGTCCAAGGTGGAGCGAGGCACGTCCAAGGGCTGGTGCGAGTCGGCATCAAACGCCCTCTCTGCCTGCAGCAGGCCGCTCCTTGTGACGTTCACCGCCCTGTGGGTGACACAAGGGCAGGGAGGGACGGGAGAGAAAGGGGGGAGGGAAGGGAGGGATGGAAGGCGGAAGGGTGGAGCGAGGCACGCCAAACACCCTCTCTGACTGCAGCAGGCCCCGCATTGTGATGCTCACCGCCCTGTGATGGGGATGGAGGGAGAGAAGGAAGGGCAAGGAAGGAAGGAAGGGCATGGAGGAAAGGAAGAGGGCAGGGAGGAAAGGAAGAGGGCTGGGAGGAAAGGAAGAGGGCAGGGAGGAAAGGAAAAGGGCAGGGAGGAAAGGAAGAGGGCTGGGAGGAAAGGAAGAGGGCTGGGAGGAAAGGAAGAGGGCTGGGAGGAAAGGAAGAGGGCTGGGAGGAAAGGAAGAGGGCTGGGAGGAAAGGGAAAGGGATGGGAGGAAAGGAAGAGGGCTGGGAGGAAAGGAAGAGGGCTGGGAGGAAAGGAAGAGGGCTGGGAGGAAAGGAAGAGGGCTGGGAGGAAAGGAAGAGGGATGGGAGGAAATGAAGAGGGCTGGGAGGAAAGGAAGAAGGCTGAGAGGAAAGGAAGAGGGCTGGGAGGAAAGGAAGAGGGCTGGGAGGAAAGGAAGAGGGCTGGGAGGAAAGGAAGAGGGCTGGGAGGAAAGAAAGAGGGCTGGGAGGAAAGGAAGAGGGCAGGGAGGAAAGGAAGAGGGCTGGGAGGAAAGGACGAGGGCAGGGAGGAAAGGAAGAGGGCAGGGAGGACAGGAAGAGGGCTGGGAGGAAAGGAAGAGGGCAGGGAGGAAAGGAAGAGGGCAGGGAGGAAAGGAAGAGGGCTGGGAGGAAAGGAAGAGGGCTGGGAGGAAAGGAAGAGGGCTGGGAGGAAAGGAAGAGGGCTGGGAGGAAAGGAAGAGGGATGGGAGGAAATGAAGAGGGCTGGGAGGAAAGGAAGAAGGCTGAGAGGAAAGGAAGAGGGCTGGGAGGAAAGGAAGAGGGCTGGGAGGAAAGGAAGAGGGCTGGGAGGAAAGGAAGAGGGCTGGGAGGAAAGAAAGAGGGCTGGGAGGAAAGGAAGAGGGCTGGGAGGAAAGGAAGAGGGCTGGGAGGAAAGGAAGAGGGCTGGGAGGAAAGGAAGAGGGCTGGGAGGAAAGGAAGAGGGCTGGGAGGAAAGGAAGAGGGCTGGGAGGAAAGGAAGAGGGCTGGGAGGAAAGAAAGAGGGCTGGGAGGAAAGGAAGAGGGCTGGGAGGAAAGGAAGAGGGCTGGGAGGAAAGGAAGAGGGCTGGGAGGAAAGGAAGAGGGCTGGGAGGAAAGGAAGAGGGCTGGGAGGAAAGAAAGAGGGCTGGGAGGAAAGGAAGAGGGCTGGGAGGAAAGGAAGAGGGCTGGGAGGAAAGGAAGAGGGCTGGGAGGAAAGGAAGAGGGCTGGGAGGAAAGGAAGAGGGCTGGGAGGAAAGGAAGAGGGCAGGGAGGAAAGGAAGAGGGCTGGGAGGAAAGGAAGAGGGCTGGGAGGAAAGGAAGAGGGCTGGGAGGAAAGGAAGAGGGCTGGGAGGAAAGGAAGAGGGCTGGGAGGAAAGGACGAGGGCAGGGAGGAAAGGAAGAGGGCAGGGAGGACAGGAAGAGGGCTGGGAGGAAAGGAAGAGGGCAGGGAGGAAAGGAAGAGGGCAGGGAGGAAAGGAAGAGGGCTGGGAGGAAAGGAAGAGGGCTGGGAGGAAAGGAAGAGGGCTGGGAGGAAAGGAAGAGGGCTGGGAGGAAAGGAAGAGGGCTGGGAGGAAAGGAAGAGGGCTGGGAGGAAAGGAAGAGGGCTGGGAGGAAAGGAAGAGGGCAGGGAGGAAAGGAAGAGGGCAGGGAGGACAGGAAGAGGGCTGGGAGGAAAGGAAGAGGGCAGGGAGGAAAGGAAGAGGGCAGGGAGGAAAGGAAGAGGGCTGGGAGGAAAGGAAGAGGGCTGGGAGGAAAGGAAGAGGGCTGGGAGGAAAGGAAGAGGGCTGGGAGGAAAGGAAGAGGGCTGGGAGGAAAGGAAGAGGGCTGGGAGGAAAGGAAGAGGGCTGAGAGGAAAGGAAGAGGGCTGGGAGGAAAGGAAGAGGGCTGGGAGGAAAGGAAGAGGGCTGGGAGGAAAGGAAAAGGGCTGGGAGGAAAGAAAGAGGGCTGGGAGGAAAGGAAGAGGGCTGGGAGGAAAGGAAGAGGGCTGGGAGGAAAGGAAGAGGGCAGGGAGGAAAGGAAGAGGGCTGGGAGGAAAGGAAGAGGGCTGGGAGGAAAGGAAGAGGGCATGGAGGAAAGGAAGAGGGCTGGGAGGACAGGAAGAGGGCTGGGAGGAAAGGAAGAGGGCAGGGAGGAAAGGAAGAGGGCAGGGAGGAAAGGAAGAGGGCTGGGAGGAAAGGAAGAGGGATGGGAGGAAAGGAAGAGGGCTGGGAGGAAAGGAAGAGGGCTGGGAGGAAAGGAAGAGGGCTGGGAGGAAAGGAAGAGGGCTGGGAGGAAAGAAAGAGGGCTGGGAGGAAAGGAAGAGGGCTGGGAGGAAAGGAAGAGGGCTGGGAGGAAAGGAAGAGGGCTGGGAGGAAAGGAAGAGGGCTGGGAGGAAAGGAAGAGGGCTGGGAGGAAAGGAAGAGGGCAGGGAGGAAAGGAAGAGGGCTGGGAGGAAAGGAAGAGGGCTGGGAGGAAAGGAAGAGGGCTGGGAGGAAAGGAAGAGGGCTGGGAGGAAAGGAAGAGGGCTGGGAGGAAAGGACGAGGGCAGGGAGGAAAGGAAGAGGGCAGGGAGGACAGGAAGAGGGCTGGGAGGAAAGGAAGAGGGCAGGGAGGAAAGGAAGAGGGCAGGGAGGAAAGGAAGAGGGCTGGGAGGAAAGGAAGAGGGCTGGGAGGAAAGGAAGAGGGCTGGGAGGAAAGGAAGAGGGCTGGGAGGAAAGGAAGAGGGCTGGGAGGAAAGGAAGAGGGCTGGGAGGAAAGGAAGAGGGCTGGGAGGAAAGGAAGAGGGCAGGGAGGAAAGGAAGAGGGCAGGGAGGACAGGAAGAGGGCTGGGAGGAAAGGAAGAGGGCAGGGAGGAAAGGAAGAGGGCAGGGAGGAAAGGAAGAGGGCTGGGAGGAAAGGAAGAGGGCTGGGAGGAAAGGAAGAGGGCTGGGAGGAAAGGAAGAGGGCTGGGAGGAAAGGAAGAGGGCTGGGAGGAAAGGAAGAGGGCTGGGAGGAAAGGAAGAGGGCTGAGAGGAAAGGAAGAGGGCTGGGAGGAAAGGAAGAGGGCTGGGAGGAAAGGAAGAGGGCTGGGAGGAAAGGAAAAGGGCTGGGAGGAAAGAAAGAGGGCTGGGAGGAAAGGAAGAGGGCTGGGAGGAAAGGAAGAGGGCTGGGAGGAAAGGAAGAGGGCAGGGAGGAAAGGAAGAGGGCTGGGAGGAAAGGAAGAGGGCTGGGAGGAAAGGAAGAGGGCATGGAGGAAAGGAAGAGGGCTGGGAGGACAGGAAGAGGGCTGGGAGGAAAGGAAGAGGGCAGGGAGGAAAGGAAGAGGGCAGGGAGGAAAGGAAGAGGGCTGGGAGGAAAGGAAGAGGGATGGGAGGAAAGGAAGAGGGCTGGGAGGAAAGGAAGAGGGCTGGGAGGAAAGGAAGAGGGCTGGGAGGAAAGGAAGAGGGCTGGGAGGAAAGGAAGAGGGCTGGGAGGAAAGGAAGAGGGCTGGGAGGAAAGGAAGAGGGCTGGGAGGAAAGGAAGAGGGCTGGGAGGAAAGGAAGAGGGCTGGGAGGAAAGGAAGAGGGCTGGGAGGAAAGAAAGAGGGCTGGGAGGAAAGGAAGAGGGCTGGGAGGAAAGGAAGAGGGCTGGGAGGAAAGGAAGAGGGCTGGGAGGAAAGGAAGAGGGCTGGGAGGAAAGGAAGAGGGCTGGGAGGAAAGGAAGAGGGCTGGGAGGAAAGGAAGAGGGCTGGGAGGAAAGAAAGAGGGCTGGGAGGAAAGGAAGAGGGCTGGGAGGAAAGGAAGAGGGCTGGGAGGAAAGGAAGAGGGCAGGGAGGCAAGGAAGAGGGCTAGGAGGCGAGGGACAGAAGGGGCATGGGAGGAAAACGGTGGCTTCTGGATTGAATCAAGGTCGCCTCGGCGTCAACCGCCCTCTCTGAGTTCAGCAAACCTTGCCTCGTGACGTTCACTACCCTGTGATGGAAGGGGATGGACGGATAGAACAGGGCATCGATAAGTGTTTTTATTCTTGTATAACCAGCCGGGGAATGCTGATGTGAGGTGGGACGACACGGCACAAGGCGACTCGCTTGATTGAGACGGACTGGGTAACAAGGAAGCCACTCACTTGGGATAGACGGTGAGGTAGCGAGAGGTATCCATCACCCAGGAGAAGATGGGTGTGCCGGTGAGACAGCATAGCGCATGCCTTGCTTCCAGCACTGCCCCTGGCTGAACGCCTTCCATGCGATGGGCTTCATGACGTCTGACACCTGTCTCCATACCACCAGTCAGACGCTAAACTCACTTGGGATAGGCGGCGAGGTAGCGAGCGGTGCCCATGACCCATGTGAAGATGGGTGTGCCGGTGCAATACAGCATGTCCTCCGGCCATGCCTGCCCCTGGGCGAACGTCTTCCATGCGACGGTCTCCGTGGCGTCTGACACCTGCCTCCACGCCACCAGCACTCGGAACATGTGGCGCCAGCTCGTCATGAGGTCAGATCGGTCCAACAGACTCTGCCCACCCCCACGGCTGCTGCTGCTGCTACTGCTGCTGCTGCTGCTGCTACCGCTGCTGCTGCTGTCAGTGCTGCTTTCCTCAGTGCCTTCAGCCACGCTGCTGCCACCGCCGCCGCTGCTGCTGCTTTGACGGCTGCGGCCAGTGCGCTGCCCGCCCAGCCTCTGCTGCTGCGCCTCCTCCAGCTGCTCCCGCCACAGCTCCCGCCCCCCACTCGCCCCGTCGGCCGCACCTGCCCCACCGTCCCCATCCCCCGCGTCGGCCCCAAAGAGCAAAGGGGCGATGCGCATCTGATCCGCAATGAGCAGCAGCGTGCGCCTCACCTGCTGCATCACGTCCAGGGCCGCCAGCCCTGCCATGCGCAGCTGAGGGGTGGAGGACGGGGTGGATGGGTTGGTTGGGGTGAGAGGGGAGGAGAGGCAAGGGGCGATACGCATCTGATCATGTCTAGGGCCGCCAGCTCTGCCATGCGCAGCTGAGGGGTGGGAGGGGAGGATAAGGGAAGAGAAGGAGAGGAGGGATACTGAGTTGCGTGATCACAGGGGCAACGCGGGGAGCAGTTGGTGCTGCTGCAGGCGTTGCATGAACGGACATTGGAACTTGCAACACACTATGCCACTGCTTGTCATACACGTGTGCTTTGAGTCGACTCAAAACTCACCTCACAATCAGTATCATTCTGACTGTGCCATGCCATGCCATGCCATGCCATGCGGGCCTGCTGGGGAGCGGCATGCCATGCCACAACAGACCATGCCACGCCATGACATGCCATGCCATCACATGCTATGCCATGCCATGCCAGGCGCACCTGCTGGGTGTTATGCAGCATGTTATCGGTGTCGTAGTGAGTGCGAGCACCAATCACGTCCGCCGCTTCCACCAGCTGCACTGCCGCCCCTGACAGGCGCGGCAGTCGCTGCCACGTGGCAGCTTGCAACTGGTGCACGGGGATCGCCAGCGGGACGAAGCCCGGCAGCTCCTCCGGCCGCCCCCCCGTCGCCCACTTGTCCTGGCGCCCATGGGGGGAGAAGAAGGGGTGGGTGAGAGGGAGGTGCACAAGGGGAGGGGTGAGGGGAGAGGGGGGGAGGGGAGAGGTGGGGAGGGGAGGGGAAGAGCAGGGAAGAGTGGGGATAATTAGGGGAATTGAGCTGTTCCGTGGGAAAACGGTAAGCTTGATAGAAGAGGTCCACGCTTGCCCGTCAAGCTTGACACAAGGGCAAGCCTTCCATTCCACCACCCCCATCACGTGTCCCTGACGCCTTCCTGTCCACCCTTCTCCATCTCTCACCCTTCTCTCCCTCTCCTGCTCACACTGTTCTCTCGCCCTCGCCCTCTCACCCGCCACTCCTCGTCAAGGTCGTTATTCAAGTCCCCTTCTCCCACCCACGTTTCCCCCTCACCCTCTCGCCCTGCCCCACTCGCCCGCCACTCCCCGTCAAGGTCATCGTCAATGCGCAAGGCAGAGAAGGGCTGGGCGAGGCGCGACACAGTGTAGGCGAGCCAGCAGGTGGCGTTGAAAGAAAGTCCTGCCTCGGTGTTCTCTCCCTCTCACTCTGTCTCTTCACTCACACGTGCCCTATGTCTCCCACCCTCCACTCCACTCCCACCCCCCACTCTCACCCGCCACTCCTCATCAAGGTCGTCATCAATGCGGAAGGCAGAGAAGGGCTGGTCGAGGCGCGACACCGTGTAGGCCAGCAGGTGGCGCTGAAAGAAGGTCCTGTCGCGGTATGATGTCTGCTCGCCCGGTTGAATGGGTGAGGAGAGCAGCTCGTCGTAAAACCGCATCTGGTGCGGGTGGGGAGGCACGGGGCAGAAGGTGAGTGCATGGGATGACACGGTGTAGGCCAGCAGGTGGCGAGAAGGTTTTGTCGCGGTATGACGATCGCTTGCCGGACACATCTGGTGGGGTGAGTGTTAGGGAGGGAGGGGAGACGAGCATGTGGCAGACGATGAGTGCATGGCATGTCGTGGTGTGGTATGGTATCGCATGGTATGGCACGGCATAGCATGGCAGGGCATGACGTGATGTGGCGTAGCATTGCTGCATGTGCGTGAGAGGAGAGGAGAGGGAGGTCGCATGACTCACAGCAGCAGCATGCTCGCCCAGCATGTGCAGGCTGGACGCCTTAGCGTGCATGACCTCCAGGTCGCCTGGGAATGCCTTGAGCCCCGCGTCTGCCATGGGAATGACTCCCCTGCCCAGTCGCACATGCACATGCACGCATAACACCACATAGGTGGGCACACATAACACCACATAGGTGGGCACACATAACACCACATAGGTGGGCACACATAACACCACATAGGTGGGCACACATAACACCACATAGGTGGGCACACATAACACCACATAGGTGGGCATACATAACACCACATAGGTGGGCACACATAACACCACATAGGTGGGCATACATAACACCACATAGGTGGGCATACATAACACCACATAGGTGGGCACACATAACACCACATAGGTGGGCATACATAACACCACATAGGTGGGCACACATAACACCACATAGGTGGGCACACATAACACCACATAGGTGGGCACACATAACACCACATAGGTGGGCATACATAACACCACATAGGTGGGCACACATAACACCACATAGGTGGGCACACATAGCACCACATAGGTGGGCACACATAACACCACATAGGTGGGCACACATAACACCACATAGGTGGGCACACATAACACCACATAGGTGGGCATACATAACACCACATAGGTGGGCACACATAACAACACATAGGTGGGCACACATAACACCACATAGGTGGGCACACATAACACCACATAGGTGGGCATACATAACACCACATAGGTGGGCATACATAACACCACATAGGTGGGCATACATAACACCACATAGGTGGGCACACATAACACCACATAGGTGGGCACACATAACACCACATAGGTGGGCACACATAACACCACACAGGTGGGCACACATAACACCACATAGGTGGGCATACATAACACCACATAGGTGGGCAGACATAACACCACATAGGTGGGCATACATAACACCACATAGGTGGGCATACATAACACCACATAGGTGGGCACACATAACACCACATAGGTGGGCACACATAACACCACATAGGTGGGCATACATAACACCACATAGGTGGGCACACATAACACCACATAGGTGGGCATACATAACACCACATAGGTGGGCACACATAACACCACATAGGTGGGCACACATAACACCACATAGGTGGGCATACATAACACCACATAGGTGGGCACACATAACACCACATAGGTGGGCACACATAACACCACATAGGTGGGCAGACATAACACCACATAGGTGGGCACACATAACACCACATAGGTGGGCATACATAACACCACATAGGTGGGCATACATAACACCACATAGGTGGGCACACATAACACCACATAGGTGGGCATACATAACACCACATAGGTGGGCACACATAACACCACATAGGTGGGCACACATAACACCACATAGGTGGGCCGGGGAAGAGGAGACGAGACAAGGCATGGGCGAGGCGAGGGAGAGGGAGGGAAAACATACAGAGCATTTCAAAGGTGGAATTTGAGATGAGATGATGGGTGGTGGGTGGTGGGTGGTGGGTGGTGGGTGGTGGGCGGTGGGTGGTGGGTGGTGGGTGGTGGGCGGTGGGTGGTGGGTGGTGGATGCTCACCAGTGATCTCCCAGCAGTCGCCTCTGCAGCACCAGGTTGTGATGTGTCTCTAGTATCCTGCCATGGATGTCGATTAGTAGTGAGAGAGAGTGAGAGAGAGAGAAAAGGCACTGGCACCTAGCCCTCTTTCTCGGCACTCGCCCTCTTCCTCTGAGCCTATTTAAGGGTTTAGGGTTCGGGTTTAGGGAGGCTGTGCGGATCAGATCAGGTCAGAGAAGCAAAGAGCAAAGAGGAGCGTAGAAGAGATCCGACTGGCCGAGCTGGAGTGAGAGCAGGAATTTCCTCCCTCTCAGCCTGGTCCGTGTTGGCTTTTGAGTCGACTCAAAATTCAACAGAGTACATACTGTCCGAGCGGGAGCAACAAGGGAGGGCGTGAGGATCAAATAGCAGAGAAGAGCAGAGCAGAGCAGGCAGAGTACATACTGTCTGAGCTGGAGCGAGAGCAGGAGGTCCCTCTCAGCCTGGTCGGTCTCCCCCAGCAGGCGGTGCAGGCGCCCCTTCTCCTTGCGCAGGTCCGCATCCAATGGGAGCAGCTCCACCGTCCGAGCCAGGTACGGCTGTGCCGCCCGGAACTGGTTCGACCGCACCAATGCAATTCCCTGGTGGGGAAACGGGGAAAAGTGGGGAAAGAGGGGGGAGAGTGGAGGAGTGGGGAGGAGGAAGAAGTGGGGTATGGGAGGAGGGGAGGGGGGGAAAGGGGCATGGCTGTAGCGGGGAGGCAGTAGGGAGGGCGGCTGGGAGAAGCGGTGCTGAGAGGCACAGGAGGAGAAGGCGGGGGTGTGGCGGAACAATGGCTACAGTGGGATGACCTGGCAGGCAGGCCACCTGGGCTGCGCTGTGCTGGGCTGGACTGCTTGTCTCGAGTCTCACCACGGCTTGGTTGAGGTCGGCGTCGTTCGGCAGCATGTGCAGCGCGGGCAGCAGGTCTTTGAGAGAGTCCTTGAAGCGATTCAAGTTGAATGCGCTCAGCCCTGCGATACGCAGGTGAAGGGGGAGAGGGGAGAAGGGGGGGGGAGAGGGGGAGGGGGAGGGGGGAGTTGGGGGGGAAATGGGAAGGAGGAAAGGGGGGCAGCAGGTCTTTGAGGGCGTGCTTGAAGCGGTAACAGTTGAACGCGCTCATCCCTCAAAGGGGGGAGGGGGGTGAAGGAATAAGGTGTTTAGGAGAAATTTCAAAAGCAGGAACTGCTGAAGTCGCTCATTCCTGCACGGGGTTGGGGAGTTGGGGAGGAGAGAGCAGGGAGAGTTGGGACGGTGAGGCACTGAAGTCGGCAGTGGCATTGCCGATGCACGTTCTTCTTGGCACATGCACACCAACCCTGTCAGAACTAAGCTTGAACCGATGCATTATTATTGATCTCAAAGCTCTTTAAGTACATAAGAATAGAGCACGGAATGGATGAAGGAATTGGGGGTGATCCCTAGGGGATCAGGTGCAATCCCAAGACAATCTCCAATTGGTAGGTTGGAGATTGCTTGGTGATCACACTTGAGCTTGGTTGGGATGTGGGTGTACACCCAACCAAGCACAAAGTGCAAACTACATTACTCTAGGATATAAAAGTACAAAAACAAAAGTTGAGATTGAGGTCTAGCTCTAACACATCCACCGCACCACACCACACTACACCACACCTGAAAGCACTGTGCACCTGTTCACCGTGCCTCCCCTCCCCTTTCCCGCGCACCTCGCCGTTTGAGCGCCTCCGCATTCCCTGGTTGCAGCAGCAGGGCACAGCTGAACGCCTCGTGCGCCCTCTCGTGCTGTCCCAGCGCCTCACGCTCCACCCCCACCTCCATCCACAGCTCTGCACTGTCGGGATTGGCGCTCGCTGCCTGCGGGGGAGGAAAGGAGAGGCCAGAGAGCCTCGTGATGAGATTCTTGAATCGGCCGACTCGAAAAACACCTCCATCCTCAGCTCTGCACTGCCAGGGTTGGCGCTGACTGCCTGTATGGGAGGAGAAGCCAGAGAAGCACATTTTGTGATAAGATGTGGGTTGCCTGGGGCAGTCACCTCTTTCCACAGCTTTGCACTGCCAGGGTTGGCGCTCACTGCCTGTATGGGAGGAGGGGCAGGGAGCACGCATGCAAAGGCTTAGGGGGAGAGCGCTTCACAGAACGCACTTTGCTGTGGCGCTGCAGATATTTTTCCCCATGCTGCGCCTGCCTCCACCCACAGCCGCGCGTTGATGATAAACTGTTTTTGAGACGTCCCAAAAAACAGTTTGTTTTTCCCACGCTGCGCCTACCTCCATCCACAGCCGCGCGTTGCTGGGGTTGGCGGTCACTGCCTGTGGGGGAGTGAGGGAGGGTGCGCGCAGAGAGAGGCTGAAAGGGCCTGACATGAAGGTATGGTTTGTGTGACAAGGGGGTGACAATACAGAGGGTGCGCAAGAAGCAATAGGGATGTGACAGTAACAAAAGGGAGGACCTGGCTTGTCACGTCCCAACATGTCATGCCGGACATGTCACGCCTAACATGTAAAGCCCGATCGTCATGCGGTGCCAGGGCTTAAAGCCCGATCGACATTCGCTGCCAGGGACAATGCTATGCCGGTCTGCCCCACATGATGCGGCGCGAGGGGCTTGGGCTCACCTGCTCGAAGTCCACAACAGCCGGCTCGTGCATGTGCAGCAGCGACTTGGCCACGCCTCTCCCGTGCTGCAGTCGCTCGTACAGCCGCCGCAATAGCCGCTCCGCCTGTGGTGTGGGGCAACGGAGGGCGGTTGGGAGCAGCAGAGGAAGGAGGCTTCAAGGGATCTTGTTTCATCTCGCCGCGCTGCGCACCTCGTTGCGCACCTCATTACATCTCGCCTCGAACCTCGTTACATCTCGCCGCTCACCTCGTTACATCTCGCCGCGCACCTCGTTACATCTCGCCTCGCACCTCGTTACATCTCGCCGCGCACCTCGTTACATCTCGCCTTGCACCTCGTTACATCTCGCCGCTCAGCTCGTCACATCTCGCCGCTCACCTCGTCACATCTCGCTGCTCACCTCGTCGTATGTGGCGACAGCCTCTAAGAGCCGGTCGCCTTCCAGCTGGTCGCGTCCCTCCGCGATTAAAGCCATCATTCGCTCGCTCACGCGCCGCGCCACCTCCGCCTCGCTGCTTCCGCCGCCGCCGCCGCCGCCGCTGCTGCTGTCGCGGCTTACGCTATTGCCATTAATGGTGGAGCTGTTATCATCATCTACAAGTGAGTCGTTGACGGCAACATTAATCCGCCGCGCGTCCCGCTCACGAGAACCGGAGCGACTCGGCACACATGTCTCTTCATTTCCCAGGCAATAACCACCCAACGGCGTTTCTGCCGCAACTTCCGCCGCAACTGACGCTGCCGGATTTAACGCCACGTTTGCCGCCGGATCCAACGCAGGAACGCTAACGCTCTGAATGCCAGGCGCGGTGAGATTAATGGGATTACATCCGTCGTCCGGCTGCTCCGCCTGCAGCCGCGTCGCGTGACTGCCGGCGCATTCGAACGTGCCGATGAGGACAACATCGCGAAAAAGGGCTTGCCATAAAGCTGCGAGAATGTTGCAAAAAGGATACTTTTTGGATACCTTGGTTTTGCAACTTTCCAGTTATGGTCAAATGTTGCAGAAATGCGGATTGCGAAATTCTTGCAAAAAAGTTGCCCTTCCGCAACTTTTCCGCAACTCTCTTGCAACAATCCTGCAAACCTGCAGCCACCATTCCGCAACATTCCGCCCAACTTCAAGTCACTAACAGCCTGCTGTGCAGTTGCGTGCATGTTGCCGAAAGATCACCTCCATGTTGCCACCGATCAGTTACAACACGGCGCCACCGTGGCAACGAGAACCGTACTCGGATCTGATCCCGTACGCTGTAGGCCATGAAACATACACCAACCAGTCTCCAGCACGTGTGTGCTATCTACTGGCACACGGCACGGTAACCCCGCTTCGTCCACCACTTTAGTGCATACGCGGACACCTTCGTGCACCACTAGCGCGCATTCGCGAACCTGACAACGCCCAATCCCAGCACGACATCGAACACTACCGCGCGCGTCACGGAGCACACTGTTGGGCCGCATGTTCCGCACACCACCTCCACGCCCAATCAAGCCGCGGTAGAGCGTAACGCAGTGACATCACTGGATATCGGGATTGGCTCCAACCGCCGTCGCCCGCGTATTTCGCTCCATCGCAACCCCACTGTTTTCCGCACACTCCTCACACACCACCCAATCAGCGCGCACTCCGAACACTGCCGGATACTTCGCCGCAAAGTTACCCACGCCTCGTACACCCAATGTGCCACTTTGCACACACGCGTCACGCATGCATCCTGGCTTCATCTCAACTAGACGGCGGTATTTGCGGCGTGAATACCAAACCGTCAATCCCACCGCTGCGCGCCGTCGTACCACCACCCGATCGCGACACGGTAAGGTATCCGTTTACTGCCGAATTGTACACGTTATTGCGAGCTTTGCGCACTGCTTGCGCGCGTATAGCACACCACGTTACGCCACACAAGTATGCGCGCTTACAAGTGATTTATTCAATGTCGCAACACACCGCAACATCGCACACATCACACCCGGGTTGCTATACAACACACCGTCGCCAATTACGTCCACACACTACCGCTTGACGCCATCTTACTACATCCCCACCTCGTCGAACGCTAACCCCACAAACGTATATCCTTCTAACATGCGTGAAATACAAAGAGTGGAAGCCCGTGTCCATGTACAGGGTTTAGGGACGCCTCACTACCAACTTCAGTCAGTGCCCAGAGAAACCGAACCACCGGCTTCCACGATTGGCGCCCTCTGCGCGTAACGGCCTGGAATCAAGTGCTCTAGCCCGCACGAGGACATCATCAGCCCGTGCTCCCCCCATACCCACGCCTGGGCATCAGCATCGTACTTGGGCTTGAAGTCTTGGATCGCCTGCGCCATTGCCCCCTCGGCGACCTGGTGGAGGCCGTTCACCACCTCCGCGTTGCCACCAGCAGAGTTTGATAGGCGGGCCTTGAGCTTGTCCCAGTTAAAAACCGTGTCGGTAACCTGCGTGAAACAACAAACATATCGCACACACACATCACTCCCGCGCACGGGTGGGCTGAACGGGGATTGAGATGCAACTCACCACATGCTCGAGCCACGCCATCTGGTACAGTTTCACGGTCACCGCTCCCGTGACCTTCTTGGGCTGGAAGGCGGTCACGACACACGCCATGAACGCTCCCGACGCAAAGATCATTCCAGTCCTGCTCTCTCTCCAGGTTGACAACGTCAGATCTTCTGCCCACACACATGTACAACGTAACACACCGTCAGCTGAGCTACACACAGGAACCCTGGATGTTGACACCCCGCCGCATACCATTCACGTCGTCCAGCACGCGATACCGAAGCCGGACTTCGGCCGCCTCTCTGCGCTTCTTGCGTGCCCACGGGCTTTTCCTGTCTCGCTCGTTGCGCCATAGGCCAATGCGCGGCAGCGCAATGTCTCGAACGCGGCCCGTCACCTCTGTCTTCCACTGGCTGAGTGCCTTGTTCAGGTCAGCGCATCGCGCCTTGTCGGCTGCCAGTGCGAGCCCCGCATAATTCAACGTCAATCGTGGTGTGACCCAGCATAATCCGAGCGTCTTGTCATGGCTGCTTGGGTAAAAGGTCATGACATCATTGGCCCGCTCGATGAACAGGAACTCCCGCACATGGTCGCACGTTCTCTGCCATGTCCACGACACGGCACACACCAAGGTTTTTCATAGTACAAGAACGCACAAACAGCAGCGCGGCACACATTAGACCACCCGCAATGCATATTTTTTAGTATGTGTCCCCATGTCCTAGGGCGCTCACCTTCCATGCTTTGCCAGACGGCAGGAAATCAAATGCCTCCTGAAGTATGGGTGAGCTCGACACTGTCATCTGGCGCCGCCGGACCACACGGCGTGCCCTCACTGGCTCCGCCTCCGCATCTTCTTCCTCTCCCTCCTCCGATGTCGCGTCCTCCGAGCCCGATTCGACCCGCCTGCGCTTGCGCGGCCGCGCATCTCCCTGCGCCCGTTCCTCCCTCAGACCCCTTCGGCCTCTTGTTCTGCATTTCCCTGTCGTTTATGGCCAGCAGCAGCGCCTCCAGCCGCGCAATCCGACGCTCGCCCTCGTCTCTCGCCGTCTTGAGCGCCTCGAGGTCGGCGCGGCTAATCACGACGGCGTCATCGGCAACCGTCTCATCCCGACGAGATCCACTTGCCGGCTGCGCAAATGCGCAGGGCATTGCCTCAAAGGGGTTGTAAGCCACCGGTTTAAGCGGAGACGCCGCAGCCTTCCCTTTTGCCGCGCTAGGCTCTTCGGCCATAACGGAGGCAACAGCCTTGGATCGAACAGGCGCAGCCTCCCCTTCGCCATCGCTACCCACATCCTCATCGCCCGCACCGACGCTAGACGCGACCGCCGCATTCGGCGAGACTTGCGATGCACCATGGGCCGCACTAGCCACACCTGAGCGCAATGTTCAAGCAACACATGCGAGTCACATCAGAGAACATGGAAACTCCGTAATGGTGAACATGCGCCGAAAGCAGGGCGGCAAAAGCAACGTGACGCAACTGAATCACCACGCGTTGTACCTTCTACTGGGACACACTTCTGCTTTTCAACCCTAGGTCGCTTGTACTGCCCCGCGTTGCCCCGCACACATTTGACTTCACGTGTTCGATTACCGGTCAACTGATACTCCATTCGCAGATACTCAGGCGGTCGTTTGGGCCTACGCGACCGGCCTGCGGGCAATTCCTCCGACGTCCCCAAAGAAATCTCCATTCCCGAAAGTCAAACCTAAACAACTTCTGCTACCGCACACCATGTAGTGAAAGTATGCGCATTCCGGCTGCAAGCCCTCTCAGTTGCAGGTATGCGCACAGGATGTAACGTCTCAATCGCCAAAGGGCGTGCGCAGGTCCGCAATCTCGTCAACCAATCGTAGACGGTATACTGTTGCATCACCGATCTCAAGACACGCGTGAGCCACTCATTGTATCCCTCGCGATCATACCCATCCACATCACCCACTCAACTGCCTTTGCAAATATGGCTGTCACACAAGCGCGGAGCCGTTTGTATTCGTTACACAATCTACATGAGCCCAACGCCCAAATAGACTACATCATGCATAGCTACAAAGTAGGTATCACCTACTCTACTATATCATGAATTGACACAATTTAGGTATCACCTACTCCAGCTACAACAGGCAAACAACGTCACTCCACAATCACTCCATCTTCACCGCCTCTGGGTCTTCGTCGAACAACGCCCCCTCAAATGCATCTCCCAGAGCCACCCCCGTCTTAATACCCTCGTCCGCCACACCACCCATCACTGCAGCAGCGTCCTCATTGAGTTCTGGGGGTGTGCCCCGCCCGGCCGTTCCCTCTGCGTCGCCCAACCCTTCCCCATCCAACTCAATCACCTCATCTCCTTCCTCCACGGCACATCCGGCTGCATCCCCCGCGTCATCGTCTTGCGAGTCGGAGTGCTCATCATCGTCCCCTGCTGTCTCCTCCTCCGTGCAGTCCACTAGTGCCGTCTCCCACTCCTGCCATCGGAACCACTGACGGCTCCTAACCAGCCGCTTGACAGATGCCAACGTGCACCCCTCAAGCATACCCTTCTCCTCATCCGTCAGCTCCACTGTGCCTGACACGCGCTTACCATCTTTGACCACGTGCACCGCTGCTGCGTACGCCGTGGCAGCCTCCAGCTCCTTATTGTACGCACCTAGCCTCATCTGCGTCCGCTTCTTCTTATTCTTCTCTCGGAACAGAATCTTGGCGCTCCACCTACCGCGCTTCTCCCTGCGCACACCCTTGTACTGTGAACTACAACCCTGTCCCTTACCCTTGCTCTTGCAAGCAGTAGCGCCGCCCTCAGCATCCGCCCCCGACGCATGCGGGTCTTCTCGTTTCCTCTTTGCCGGCATAGCCAGCACCACGGGCCTTGCTCCACATGCATGAGCCACCGCCGGCTCTGCCTGGTGCGTGACATGCATACTTCCCTCTGTGCCATTTATCGACCAACTCGGAGCGGCAGGCACGGGTAGCGCGCAGGGGCTGGGATGAACCACCCCTAGCTCGACTGTGCCACTGCCTGCACCGTCCAGTGCTACGCTCTCAGCAGATCCTCCTTTGGAACCGGGGCTGTCGGTAGTGCAAGGCCGCGCTGCTGCACGGGGGTTGGGGGTGGAGGGTGCAGTGGACCGGCTGCCCCCAGGTGTCGCCGCGCCCCCTTCAAAACCTTGCGCCTGCAAGACGTGTGCAGCTCCTGCAAGGAGCTGATCGACACTGTAACCCATCGCCGCTCCGACGGCGGTGACTGCTGCTTTCCAGATCGCAAGATCCCTCTTCATGCCGTAGTGCTCCACCTGCATCCGTGTCAGCTTTGTGTTGTGATCCTCCGCTCCAAAATCCACGACGGCTCCATGCTTAGTGACCCTAGCTGCGGGTTGATTAGGTACGACCACACCCATCTTCACCAGCGCCGGTATAAGGTCAGAAGCCGCATGCATGCATAGGTCGGCCCGCATGCCGCGCCGGAACTCCGTCGCACTGATGCCCTCCAGGTACAGGTACGAGCGCAAATTCTTGAAATCAGTATCCACAAGGACTTTCATATAGTGGCATACAAAAATGCCACAGTCGTGTTTGTTGTCCTGCTGCTGCACCTTATGTTTCTGCACGCACGTTAGAGGCCACAACATGCCGTTACCACATGCTGACATAGTGTGTCAACACATTTCAGTTTGGGAAGCAGGACCCACCTTCATGGGAAGCGGCTTCGCATCTCCCAGTGTGTTCACAAGAGTCGTTGCATCACACTGAGGGTGTAGGGCCTTGGCGGTTAGTTCCAATAATCTAGAACGCGAGAAATCCGGACATTTGGTCAGACATTCTCGTAGTGTATTGTCGAATTCACTAACACGGCCACAAAAACATGCAGCAGCTTACCGTTTGACGCCATCAAACACCGTAGGGTCGTCACACTGCGTGCCATAACTGTCGAGAAGAATCAGTTCCAGAGGTCCAGTCACTTCCTCAGACGTTCCTCCCAGCAGTCGCTTAGGGCACGGAACTATCATAAGCGAGTAGTGTGAGTTGCAACATATCGCATAAAACAGGCACGCGCATCATATTATTGCAGCGACTCGTGCCACCATGAATGAAAACCAAAGTGTTCAATCAACAGCACGCACCTCTTGAAGACGGGAATGGCCAAGAAGTCAACGTCAAAAACTCTGACCCGTTGCCCATAGAGTATGGCTTGCCGAAAGTGTTCACGTAGTCGAAAGCCTTGCTGTCGACCGCGGCCCAAGTAGTGCCGTTAGGCGTAGTGTGTAGACGGATGCTCAGCAGTCTGCGCGCAGTCAGGCGATTGTCCAGTGAGGGAACGGGTGACAATCATGGACACAAGGCAGGCCATGACACATCGCCTTAAAAAAACCGACGAAATCGCTCACACGTTGTGGAAGTCCACGATCGCGTCGGTGACACACTTCGCGTCAGCGATGGTTATGATGTCTGACGCCTCCACGACACAACCAACGCCATCCGCGTTGAACAGCGTCATTTGCTCCATCTGTTGTGGTTGCTTGGCAGTCAGTAAGCGATAGACCAGATCGTGCGGCTCGGGAAGTTCCGTCTCCGTCTCCAGCTTTGTCTGGTACTGCTGGGCTAGGAGTTTGCTGCCGGCCGAGTCGATGCCTTCTTTAAGAGTTGTGTTGCCGCTGGTCGATTGCCTCCTTCCGTTACGGAGGGAGCGCGCAATAGCACTGACATCCGTCACGTCTCCGTCGCCCCCTGCGTCGCCCTCCTTAGCACCGCGCGTGGACCTGCCCTTGGAAGCACACTGCTTGTCACGGGCGCGCCTAAGAGGAGACATGTCTACGATCGTCGGTCAAGCTCAAGGAAAACTGTGCAGAGGTAATGAGGGAGTATGCTGGAGTGTCCGTCCTATGAAAAGAAGGTTGATTCAACCTCACACTTTAGAGGGGACGTTTTGGCAGGACATCGAGGGTGATAGGGGGCGTTGATGACGTTGTGTGGATCTGAAGTACTTGTGGCGCGAACTCGTAAGTGCATGCCATTTGTCGCGTCACCGTGACATGCACATCATGTCATGGCATGCACTTCACGTATTCATAATGAACGAATACGATGTACGCACATTGCATTTTGTGCGTGTTCTAGGCTTACGTGATTCCTAGCTGAGTCATTGTCCCGCATGGGATCCGATAACCACAGCCGACCTAGCCGAGCGGTGTACTCGATGATTTCAACAAATGACTAGGAAATATGTTAGACAGCATGACCTGTATACAAACAGGTCATGCGTTTATTACGTGCACACAGTGAGTGCGGATTTCTTTCGCGCAAAGGTATACTAACTCCGATGACCCAAAGTTAGGGTTTGCGGTGGTATCATGGGTGGCAACGTGTGCGGGGGGTGCAGAAAAACGTTTCGTGACGACAACAGGCTGCAGTCGCACTTGGCTAGAAGCGCGGCATGCAGGGAGGCGATTCTCGGTCGTGGTAGAGTCCTCCTCGCAGAGGCATATCTGGAGGCCCGTCAGGCGTTTTTCCGGATCCCTGCCTGTACAGCCGCCGCCACTGCCGCCAGCGCTGGCACTAGCGAGAGGACGGCGGAGAAGAGACCAGCAGCTCCTCCACCCCCCTGCAGTGTGTGTTATCGCGGTGGAATTTCTCGGACACTGAGTGGGGCAACCCATTTGGTGCTACTGTCGCGGACATCATGCACGTGCTGGACTCTGGGATGGCGCTGCACTTGCTGGAGAACCACATCGCTGTTCTTTCCAAGCCAGAGAGGCGAGAAGTCGAGAGGTTAGTCGTATTGTAAACCTGGGATATGGGCGGATCATAGAGCAGAATGACGTGAGCACGATGTGAAGTGAATGCATGTGTTTAGGGTTACACAGGGAGGTCCAATGTTAATCCCTGAGAGCACCCCTTCCCGGGCCCTCCACCCCTCCAGAGGTAAGAAGACAACCAAAGGAGAGACACCAAGTGTTCTATTGCGTCTACCCGGAGGCAGTTCCTACTTCATGAGTGGGGCCAACTACGCAGCCTTCGAACACCGCAGCATGATGCAAGTGATGCCAATTCTGGTGGCCGACAAGTCTGCGCTGCAAGCAGGAGAGGCGGGAGACCTGGCTGCGCTCCGCGTGCGTGCGTTCAGGATGTACGCAACCTTCTACAAGGCGTTTCTGGGTGTCAGCGGACACACGGACTCCTCTCTCGCCATCGCTTGTGGACACGCCATCAAGTATGGAGTATAATCCGGGCGTAGGTATAGTGGACGTTGCATGCCAATGTTGGCCGCAGAGTTGGGTGCTTGCTGTCACTGACCGCATCTTTGATTTGCGTGTTCTTTTTCCCGACGGGACGTGGCATGATCCACATGCTGGTCAAGATTTTGCCGCAGGCGTATCCGGATCATGCATCGCATTGGCGCTTTCCAAAGATTCACATGATTGTCCACATGCTGGACAATGTGATCATGCGCGGAATGCCGCACCACTACAGCACGGAGATGTGGGATCATACCCACAAGGGGACGGTCAAGATCCCGGTCAGGGGCAGCAATTGGAAGGACATCCCCCGACGCATCGTGGAGGAGGAGGTGCAGAGAGAGATCTGCAGGGAGGTGTCACAGGACGCGGGTGGCGGGCGTGAGTATGCGACGGCGCTGCGCGAGGTGAGACTGTGCGTAGCATATCCCTTGCATGACCGTATGATCGTTGGACACGTCAATACCGCGTGACTTGTCTGCGGACACGATCGCGACATACCCATTGCCTTCCACACCCGCAGGTTGTTGAGACGATGAAGCCCGTGCTCATGAGGAAGGGACTCACAATGCGGCCGGCGGAGGAGGGAGATGCGGTGATGGGTACCTACCGTACGGCACTTGGCGACCTCATGGATGCGCTACCAGGCAGCATGGTGGCTGCCAACCTCGTGGTGCGTACACATGTGCAAGTGTATCCTCCACCAAGGTTGCCGTTGTTGAGTGCTTAGGCTCCGTATGTGTGCGTATCGAGTATACACCCGATCTTGCTCCTTATCCCAATGCCCCACTCATGCAGGCCCACACCGCGGTGGCGATTCCGCGCACCAAAGGCAGAGCACTGGTCCCCAAGGGGGCGTTCATCAAGGCAAGCCCCAAGGAGAAGTGGTTCACTGACTTTGCAGTGAAGTCAAGCAAGAAGGAGGAGTGGTATGCGAAGGCGCTGTGTATTTTCAAGGTAGCGACGATAGAGGGCGACCAGAAGGGGTTTGTGTACATGCGGTGGTATGAGAGGGCAGGCATATGCCCCCTCACCACCTGCGTGCAGTTGACACCGTCACGCAAGGACACAAGGCACGCAGTGATTGAGGTGGAGAGCATTCTGCGAGCTGTGCACATTTGACGCTCTTTCAGCAACCCTGCAGTGTTGCTGCTGAACAAGTTTCTTCTGTGTGAGTGATTTTGAGGTGGGGGTGTGAGGAGGCGTTTGAGGGTTGTGGTGTGCATATGCTGCAGTTATTTTCACAGCTGGCTACTCAAACTGTAGACTTACACGCCCTAGTCGCATGATGAAAGACGGGTTGTCACTTGGGCGATCTAGAGACCGACACATAGAGCGCCATGACCGCAACTGTAGTGCCGTGGTGTCTACGTGCTTATGCGATCTTTGTAGCTGTTATTTGAACACTCTAGTTTCTTTGAATGGTGAGTGTACTTAACTTATGCGAGACGATGGGGTATGCTGTATTGCGCACTGAGTGAAACTGCAAACCCCCCTAGGGGGCGTGGTTTGGTGTTGCAAGTTACAGGTACGTGGCACGCCCGCGTTCCGGCGAGAGACGGAGTCACGGTTGGGGCGTGGGTGTAATCAGAAAGACGCACAACCATTGGTGCGCAGGTTCGTATCATTGGTGGACACTATGGGGGGGTGTACCAAGTGCGATTGCTTTCTGGGTACGGGGTTCCAATGGTATGCTGATGTGGCACAAGTGTGGCCTCACTTGTTAATACAGCAAGAACCGCGAAGCACAAAGAAACCCATGCACTTGCCGGGATTGTGTTTCACCCAGCGTTGCAGCATACTTGTTTGAAGAAATGGCGTCCCTGGTATCCCTCCTTGAGGCACTGAATGCACCGCCCGAAAAGGTGTTCACTTTCACGGAGTTTCCGTTAATCCCCACACGGGTGCCGTTAGGCACGTCTGTGGACGAGTGTGAGCAGCTGTCGCGGGAATGGCACATGCCCGTATGCTTTGTGTACAACGCGACAGGATGTGTCCGCAAACCGCCGATCGTTGTTCTACGACGGGAAGACAAGAGGCCAGTACATGAGGGGCGCAAGAAGAATCATGACGTGAAAGTGCGCTACGCCAAGAATGGGCGCTTTTCTAGCGAGGTGAGCGGGTTCAAAGCTGGGGTTTGTAGGTTGATCGTCGTTGTTTATGAGGTGCAATTTTGGTGGCCGTCGTTCTGTACTCATGTCGTCACCACGGACATCCGCCGTGTTGCGTGCGCAGTTGTTCACTGAGTTCGTCAACGAGTTAAACAGGGAGTTGCATGCGAAGAACGAGAAGGCGGTGGTGCTTGTGCACAACCCTTCGCACTCCCTCACCGGGTGTGTGAAACGGACAAGCACGGTGGAGGGGTTTGTCGTGGAGGAGTTGACACGGGTGAAAGTTGTGCAGACATTTGGCGTGATGCCGGCTGCTGCGTTTTCTGCGATAAATGGTGTTGTGGACACATTGAAGGCAGTTTTCCGGACGTGGTTTCTGTGAACGGCAGTCACGAGCACGGAGTGGACCCGTGCGGGCATTTTTCCACGGCCGCCGCTGCACGAAGTCCTGTACAAGCTGTTCATGGCGTGCAAGTTGACGATGCCGGGGACAATCCAGAGGAGTTGGTGGCGGGCCGGTAGCGTGCCGAAGGGCTGGCTGTCGCGGATGGACAGCTTGAAAGGGAAAGCTGCGGCAGGGATGTTTGACGGTCTGGTGCTGCATTTGACGAGTCTGCAGCTGGTGATTGAAGAGTTCAAAGGCAAGTGCAGCAGCACGGCGTTTATGACGGCGTGGGATTTCGTGGGGTGTGACGAAGGCCTTATTGAGAAGTGGGCGCCAGCGAGGGGTTTGGAGGACGAGTCCGAGGATGAGATTCCGGCATATTTTTGCATTCCGGAGGGGCCGCTAATGCGAGACAGCCGTAGCTGTCGCCGCGTGAGCCGCATGGTCCATGATGGTTTCGTGAAGCAGGCGGAGGCATTGGGTATTCCACCGCGCGACGTGCCAGAGGAGGCCGGAGTGGTGAATGAGGAGGTGGTGAGCCGCCTTCGACGCACGCCCACTAAGCGCAACCGGACGTGCCGCTCTAGTGATGAGGGGATCACGTCTGACGCGTCGGATGAGGCAGGCCAATCCCGGAAGGCGGGGGTGTTGTTCCCAGTGGAGGATGACAAAGAGAGCGTCGTACGCTTGGTCTAGGGCTATAGGGTGGCTATGCTTTATCATTGTGGTATGGGGGGGCTGAACATAGGGAGCACTATGCGACGGTGGCGTCACAATGTTTCAGCTAATGTGTGTGTACGGATTGCATGAGCTGTGAATTGGGCGATATTATTTCCATGTGTTGTGTTTGCTACTCAATAACGAATGCACTTCTGTATCACGTGTGTTGCTTTGACGGTTAGCGTTTAGTAGTTTGGGGATAGGCTGCAAACCCTAAGGGGATCGTTCTCGCGGCAGTGTACAAACACATAACGCAAAACACAAGCGAGTGTTTCTTGTATGCGGTGCCAAGGTGTGCTTTTTCGTCGAACCGCGTCTGCCAATGTGCGAGATTTCCCGAGCCGCTCTGGAATTTGGACGTTCCGAAGCGCAAACCGCCCGGCATCCGGCTGCCTTTCTCAGTGTGCGGGACTTAGTGGCATTTTGGGTAAGATGCAATTTCGGGTTGTTGTTTTTCGGATACTTTTCTGCAGCTTTTGTGCAACTTTCCTGCAACTCTGAGACTTTAACTCAAAAATTGGCCAAACCCTTTTTCGCGATGAAGCATTGCCGCCCAAGCTATTAAACTCTTGCTCAACGACCGAGTCCGGCCGCGGCCATGCGACGGAAACGCCATTTTGCGGACGAAACGTCTTATAGGGCTTTGACTCTGGCTCAGATGTCGTCGCGCGCATCGGCGATACAAGCGAGGCGGCTCGAACGATATTTCTAGAGAATGAGAACGAGCAGTCGACCAACGAACCACAAAGCAACGAAGAATGGTAAGAGTGAGGAATTTTCTTGACGCGAGCTCTAGAACTTCTACTCGACGCGAGAGGAAAGGGAGTCCACTCAGTGCTCAACTGGAGCGAATACATGCGCCGAGGCTGCTTCGTAGAGATAGAGCCGACATAACTTGAGAATGTACGTATGGGAGGGAAGGTCATTTGTGTGGTCTCCTCCTTCCCAGGGGGTCTGTCTCCACCGTCGACCGCCATGCTTCTGCAATGGGAGTGTAACAGGACGGAATTCACCATGCGAGATGCATGGGAATTTCCGAACGGGTCCTTGCCTAGCTACCTATGAACTGCACCACTTGCTAGCCTAGAACGTACTCCCGTATCCCTGTCAGGAAGAATAGAACAGCAGGGCATGGCATCGAGGCGCTATGCCAAGATGCCATGCTAGATTGAGTGGCGATGCGGTTTTCCTCCCAAGTCGCCATCTCTCTTCCTAGCATAAATATCTCGTCCTAGTTCTTGTTGTATGATCCTTAATTCTGGAATCTACTTTCTACTTCTTCATCTCTCATCTAAGACTCCAGAGTTAGGCATCTCTCACTAGCCTAGCTTCTTCTCTATTCCGCTGCAATTACTCTTCCTCTCTTCTTCTAGCTACGGCGCCACCTTCGCCTTGGCAGGCTCGGCCACCTTCGCCTTGGCAGGCTCGGCCACCTCGACTAACGTGGTTGCGCGCCGTAGCCTTGTTTCAGGGAGTGACTGCAGGCGATTTCGTTGTTTTCAGGGCTTACCAACTAGGCGTAAGCGGTGAAGGACACATATTTGTGCGGCAAGACGGTCACCCTCTCGCCTGAGAATGCGATCTGAGATGGGCAGTGAAGTGAGGGACCGATGATGATGATGTTATGTGACTGACTCGTCGGCGGCAACCTCCCTGACGAGCCTCCAAACTTCCCATTGGTGGCTGCCTGGACCTCGAGTGTTGCGCTGCTGCTTTCCATTATTCCCCACTGGGGTCGTCGACGTGATTTTAGAAAGGTGGAGAAAGACTTTGTAGGACTACGAACGGTAATTTAGGAACATGGCGGGATTATGAGGTGATAAAGGATCGTCTCGTCTCCTTGCAGCAGGAATGCTCACCTCGCCGCGAATTTCCAGCGTGGGCTGCTGTCGTCGTTCGCCGACACCTCTGCTGCTACGACGTGCGGACTTGTCGTCACTCTCGGCAAGCTCAAAGTGGATATCCTTGATAGTGGTACGGAGATGCATTTATTGAGACTTTAACACAATTGAGTACGGTCAATATTATATATATGTGAGGTTGTTTAGTTAGTATTGTGCTAATTGCTTAACATTGTTGAAGAATGTAACAAAACTTTTATATCTAAGTTTTAAGGCATAAAAAAATGTCTAATTCTTGTGTTGAATGATCTATTTTTAGCGAGAGTGAGTGAGCCAGACCAAGAGAGTGAAGATAGAGGGAGGGCGAGGAGAGAGGGCGAGCATTCAAGCATGGACTAGGCAAAGCCAGAGACAAACGGACTCTGAAAGAGAGGGCCCGGGAAGGGAGGCGGAGAGGTGGAGAGGCGGGCAGGCAGGCAGGCAGCCGGGGTAGCACGGTTAGGCACAACTTCGTATATACAGTTGTGTTGAAGAATCTCAAACAGCACGCACTTACTGCCCCTGCCAAGAGCACAAGGTTTCCCTGCTGCGTAATGATGACCAGATGGCACATGGCGCATACATGCCTACATGCGAGGAGCTGCGCATGCATTGGGGTGTGGGTTGCGGAGGGAAGGGAGATGGGTGAAAGGGGGGATGAATGAAAAGGGATGGGTGAAAGGAAGTGGGTGGAAGGGGGATGGACGGAAGTGGGATGGACAGAAGGGTGTTGAGTTCGGATCACATGGAGCAGAGGGGAGACGAGCAACATGCAAGTGTCTGTGAGAAGGAAAGAGGCACAGCAAAGGCATGGGAGGGCGTGGGAGGCTGTGGGAGGCTTCGGGGTGCCGAGGGGGGGCGAGGGAGGGCAAGGGGGGGCGAGGGAGGGCGAGGGGGGGCGAGGGGGGGCGAGGGAGGGCGAGGGGGGGCGAGGGGGAGCGTGGAGGGGAGAGAGAGGGCGAGCCGGGGCGAGGGGGGGCGAGAGAGGGCGAAGGGGGGCGAGGGGGAGCGAAAGAGGGCGAGGGAGGGCGTGGGAGGTCGCGGAAGGGCGTGGAAGGGTGTGAGGCGATGGTACCTCCGCCAATGGTGGCCTCAGGCATTCGCTCAATGGAGTACTTGCGCTGCGTTATGTACATTATGGGCACTCCCGGCACCTGCGAGGCGGGGGGGGAGGGGGTGGGCGGGGGGGAGAGAAGGGGGCGGGATGATCATGCTGTAGCCGCCTCAAGCATGAAACGATGGAGTGCTTGCGCAGCGGTATGTACATTATGGGCACTCCCGGCACCTGATGATTGAGGAAAGGGGGGAAATGAGGAGGGCGGAGAGGAGGTTGGGGAGGGAAGATGGCCAATGCACAGGTTACGCACACTACGGGCACACTTGGCACCTGCAAGGAGAGGGTTGGAAAGGGGAGGAGGGGCGGGAAAGAGAATGCCAATGCACATGTTACGTACATGATTTGCGCCGGAGTAGGTGTGTGTGCGTGCATGTTGAACGAAATAAGTGTGTGTATGTGTGCATGTGGGCGTGCATGCGTTTTCACCAAATAAATTGTGTATAGGTATGTGCGCATGCGGGTGGAGTAGGTGTGTGTGCATTCGTGTTCACCGGAAAAACGTGTGTACGTGTGCATGTGGCCGGCGTAGGTGTGTGTGCGTGTGTGCGTGAGTAGGTGTGTGTGTGTGGCGCGTGTGCGAGTGAGTAGGTGTGTGCGTGCGTGCGTGTGTGCGTGCGTGCGAGCGTGCGTGTGTGTCCGTGTGCGTGCATGTGTGTGTGTGTGTGTGTGTGTGTGTGTGTGTGGCGGAGTAGATGTGTGCATGTGAGCGCCTGAGCGCACGAGCTCTCACCTTGCGGATGCGGCGCTTGAGATCACGATCGCACGTGGCCACGATGTAGCACTTGTGCTGCGCAGCACACAGCGAAAGAAAGGACACGTGGGCAAGGGAGAGAGGGGAGGAGCACGAGGGCACGGAAAAAGGAGCAGGGAGAAGAGGGCAGGAGCATGGGTGCAGGAAAAAGGGGCCAGGGGGGAAATGGGAAGAACAAGAAGGTTGGGAGGTAGGTGGGGACACAGCAGGGACTGGTGCTGCACAATACGGCCGTGGAACGCGTAACAGGTAAGAGCGGATAAACACGAAAGCAGATGGGCTTAGGGAGGAGAAGCAAGAAACAAGGCCAAGGAGGGTTGACGCCATACATGCCAGGATGGGGAGATGAGGGGAAGGTGTGGCAGTAGGGGTGACAAGCGATGGTGATAAAGCACACAAGAGATATGATGGTGCAGGTGTAGCTTGCGACAGCAGCAGTCATGGCGAGAAGGGACAGCCGCCGTGTGATAAAAAGAGCAGACAGCCAGCAGTCATTTACCACCTGAGTGGGCGTCTGTCTGTGGCAGTGGGCAGTCATAACATAACTCATGCGCACCTGAGTGACTCGCTGCACGAGGCAGTCGTCTGCATAGGTGCCTGCATGGCTGCATGGCAGGCGGAGAAACGACGGTGACTTGGCTATTCTGCATGTGCAGGCACAACGGGATAGGGGGAAGAGGGAGGGAGGGAGAGAGCAAGGTGGAGGGTGGGAAGGAAAACATGTGTTAGAGAATGTGAGGGCCACAAGTACAGCGCAACTCGACACACTCGCACTGCTGCCTCCTGTGTGCGGCCACTCAGCAGAACAGAGAGCTGAAAGATGAGGACGAGAGTGTGATTGAGGCGCGAGAGATGAGGATGTGACGGAGAGGAAGTTGGAAAGAGGGCAGGAGCGAGGGCAGGGAGGAGGCCAGGAGGGAGGGGAGGCACCTGAGCGCCACTCGGTACATCTGACCCGCCTGAGCGCCACTCGGTACATCTGACCCACCTGAGCGCCACTCGGTACATCTGACCCACCTGAGCGCCACTCGGTACATCTGACCCACCTGAGCGCCACTCGGTACATCTGATCCACCTGAGCGCCACTCGGTACATCTGACCCACCTGAGCGCCACTCGGTACATCTGACCCACCTGAGCGCCACTCGGTACATCTGACCCACCTGAGCGCCACTCGGTACATCTGACCCACCTGAGCGCCACTCGGTACATCTGACCCACCTGAGCGCCACTCGGTACATCTGACCCACCTGAGCGCCACTCGGTACATCTGACCCACCTGAGCGCCACTCGGTACATCTGACCCACCTGAGCGCCACTCGGTACATCTGACCCACCTGAGCGCCACTCGGTACATCTGACCCACCTGAGCGCCACTCGGTACATCTGACCCACCTGAGCGCCACTCGGTACATCTGACCGAGCTTCTCCAGCTCTGCCAACACACAGTCCGTTATGCATGGCGTGCCTGCTCTCCCATGCATGCATGCACATGGGTGGTCACATGCACACAGGCAGGCACACACACACAGGCAGGCACACGCACACAGGCAGGCACACACACACACAGGCAGGCACACACACACAGGCAGGCACACGCACACAGGCAGACACACGCACACAGGCAGGCACACGCACACACACAATGCACACAATGTTGTTGGAGGCAGAAGGGAGGACGCAAGGAGGGGCAGAAATGGAGTAGCTGAGGATGGAACGCGGAGGGATGACCTAAGGAGCACAGACGAGTGCATGCGTGCAATGGCCGGCCAGGCCAAAAGAGAGCCAGCTGTGGCAAGGCAGGCGGAGAGGCCATGAGAAGAAGTCATGGGAGATCGTGGGTGATCATGGGAAACTATGGGATCATGGGAGGTTATGGGGGATTATGTGAGAATATGAGAACTTTGAACTCATAGGCAATCATCTAGGATCATGTAAGATGATGAGAAATTCTTAGAAGTCACGACAGATCGTTAAAGCTCATGGGCGATGCGGCGGAGTGGAACAACTGACATTTGGCGTAGAGGCAATCCATCATGGCCTTGTCTAGATCCAGCTGCTCGTGTGGCCATCCGAGCGTGAATCGTGATGCCCCCACCGAGAAGACCAACGTGCGTGCGCAATCACCAACGCGGACCGCCACGCAACGCGGACCGACCAGCACCGGCCAGCCAACACGTTGCAAGGCGGGAACACGTAGCAACAGAGGGGGAACGCACAAGAGGAAAGAGGAGGCAGAGGTGGGGGATATGGAAGGGGACAGTTGGGTAGCGAGAAGGCTATGCCTGGGCTGGAAGCATGTGGGCGGGAATAAGGGAAATCATTGAAGCAGCCATGGGAAGCTTGGCAGCAGCATAATCCGTGGTGCAATGGCGGCAGATGAGGTGTACAACTCCAGGAGCGGCATGGCGAGGCGGGGTGGGCGTGTGGAGGGGCATTGGAGGAGGGAGAGGGGACTTATGAGTGGAAAAGGGCATGTGATGGCGAGAGAAGGGGGTGGAGCGGACCTTGTTGGAGATGGAGAAGTTGATGAAGTTGGTGTCCACTAGCACCTGGTAGGGCGGACCCAGCGCCGTGTTGTGCTTGAAGAATAGCGCTGATGACACGTTGGGGCTGCACCGTCACACATGCACCATGCCACATGCCACATGATGCCACACGTCGGGATCCATATGCCACAGCCACACCCACACGCCACACCCACAAGCCACACCCACGCGCCCACACCATAATGCCTTCATGCGCCCCCCCCCCCTCCCCAACTCGCACGCCACACATCAGATGAGATGCCATATGGCGTGCCACAGCGTCACATGCCACCCGCCACACGTATGTGAGGAACACAGTCATGCAAGAAGCGAAGGAAGCAAGAGGAGGAAGACAGAGGGAGACTGTGAGAGGTGCAGGCTGGTGAGAGGAAGAGTGCAAAGGTGTATGTGTGAGCATGGAAAAGAGCGGGAGAGATGGCGTGATGCAAGGGCGAAGATCACACAAGTTGGGATCTTAAGGTCTAGGGTTTATGTTCCATGATGCATGATGCTGGGGTTTTGGGTGCAAGGATTTTCTGAGAATTCTCACAGCAGCAGCCGCAGTCGCATCAGAAGCAGCACGACTCACACATTGCGTGGAAGCTTGTCCTTCTCGCTGTCTGGTTTCTTGGGGTCCAACACGTCCTTGCGATACCTGCCCACCGCACAGCACCGCACACAAGCACACAGACGCATGTGCATCATGTACACGGTGAATCTTGAGTCGACTCAAAAGGTGTTCGCACAGCACACGCACACACGCGCATGTGCGTCACTCAAAACCCCTCGCTGGGCTTGCACCTTATCCCCTTCGAATCTTCCGCAGGGTTTAGAACGCGTACGGGTTTATCTCCCGTTTCTGTCAGAATGCATCCCCATCGTTTTTAAGCCAATTCTCCCTCTCACGCTCCGTGAGACCGTTCCGTGACGCCCTATGCCTCTGCGAGTCGTCACCACCGCCCGCCTCCCACCAACTTTCTCAGGTTTCCCAAACGACAGGCATTTGACGTCCGCGAGTATCAGCGCGCAGCCAGCTGAATGACGCGCGTCGATCACTACGCCACGACGGCTGGCAAGATCCGCGGCACGAATCGAGACGGCTTGGCGGGCGGGAACGAAGAGATTGTAACTCACTGTTTTATCTCCTTTGGGTTGATTAGTCTTTTCACCTCCGCGTACTTCCGCGCCTTACGTGCTCTCCCCATTTCGGTTCCCGAAAACGAATAATATATGGGATGCTGAACTGAACGTCGTAAAGACAAATCAATCCGAGATGTATGGGTGACGATTAGCGCGATTCCAGAAAGCCACAGCGACTAAACGTGTGTGCGCAAAATGCTGTGGCAAAGCAAGCTTCACATTGATAGACCTTGACGGGCTGACAGATGCACTGTGGGTGTTCCCCACTGAATGTCCCAAGGGTTTCGAAATTAGCCGTGGTAACGGTCGTCGCGAGTTTTGCGAAAACTCGCAAATGCTTCCAGCATCCGAACACTCTTTAAGATTTAACTCAGAAATATACATACGGGCTTTACAAGATCTTCACGCTTGTAATAAACCCATACCCTTAAGATTAAAAACTGTTGGGCTGAGTGCCCCTTAGGATCTTTGGTAGGGTTAAACTCTGAGTAGAGTGATGTAGTAGCGGAAGCGTTTAAATGAAGTCCTTGAACCACCTTGCACTGGTATGTGAGGGCAAAGTAAGTTTATTAAAACAAGTACAAAGGTTTACATAAGAGTACAGGGAATACAAAGAGATATAATTAAACACTTTTGCTGTTGCGGTTCGATACAGTGCGACTCGGGCAACTGCTCAATGTCGAGTCAGCTGTGTGTCCTTGCTATCGCGTTGCATTTGTCAAGTCAAAGGTCGCTGACCTTTGACTTTCGCGTAACCTCCAGCGGTCACTTCAACCTCCGAGGGTTGACTTGCTGGTGCCTCGATATGCTCTGCTTCGCTTGTGCCTTGGTGTTTCGACACGACAGAGGCGCTTAAGATTGTTTGTTCCCAACACTCCCCTTCGCTTCTGGAGTGTCGCTGCTGGTGACGTGGCTTTGTCCAGTCAGCAGCATGCAGTACTCGAACTTCTGTTTTCCAAGCTTCTTGCTCAAGTAGTCAGCTGCCATCTCGGACGTGGGACAGTAGGATAGTTCAAGTCTCCCCTTCTCAATCTCGTCTTTCACGAAGAAATATCGCAGAGCGATATGCTTCGTTCTGTTCGCGAATCCATTTTTGTTGGCGATGCGAATTGCAGATTGGTTGTCGCAGAACAGAGTGAAGTTGGGTAACTCGGCTAACTTCGCTTCTTTCAGCAGCTCGCGAAGATAGAGTCCTTCCTTGGTGGCTGAGCAGAGTGCAATATATTCTGCTTCAGCTGACGAGAGAGCAATTAATTCCTGCTTACTCGATTGCCAGGAGATCGGTCCGATAGATTCGAGGCGGTAGATGTAGCCAGTGCGAGAGCGCCTATTGTCTGAGTCGCCAGCGTGATCAGCGTCGACGTAGCCGATTAATTTAGTCGGTGTGGTTGTGTTCTTGTAGTAGGTTAGGCCGATCGTTGAGGTACTGACGAAGTAGTGGAGAGCACGGTCGAGCTCCGCCAGGTGTTCTGCTTCAGGCTTGAGGTAGGTGGCGAGCTGGCTTGCGGAGTAGGATAGATCTGGGCGGCAGGTGACAGCTGCGAAGAGAAGGCAGCCCAGCTTTCTCTGGTAGTCGCGTATCCCGGCGGATTTGAGTAGAGAGGATTCTTCCTTGCGGTTTCCTGTCGCGTAGTGGTAGGGCGTAGAGATGGTGGTAGGTGTGAGCGCGAAGCGTTTGGCGATGGTGTCGGCATACTTAGCGGCGTTGAGGTAGATCGCGCCTTCTTCTTCCCGAATGTTTAAGCCGAGGTACTGTGTGACGGTAGAGGAGACCGTGAGTGTGAGGTCCCTCATTAGCTCCCCTTCGAACCAGGTGGTGATGTCGTCAGTGGAGCCGATGTAGAGTAGGTCGTCTACGTAGACGATCAGCAGAATGTAGTCGGTGTCTTTAGTGAGTCGGTACATTCCTTGGTCGTGAGGTAGTTGGCAGAATCCGATGCGAATGAGGCGAGCGTGTAGGTACTGTTGCCATAGCCGCGGAGCTTGCTTGATCCCGTCAAGTGATTTCAGCAGTTGACAGACTTGGTTAGGTTCCCCGTTGGTACCGTGTGGGAGCTCGACGAAGATTTCCGCGTCGACAGGTGCGTAGAGGAACGCGTTGGCGACATCGATTTGCCGTAGCTTCCTTTTCTTCATGGCGGCGATCGCGAGGAGGATTCGAAGTGAGGTATGTCGGCTAACCGGGGCGAATGTCTCGGTGAAGTCCCGTCCGTGCTCCTGATCGAATCCACGCACAACCCAGCGTGCTTTGAACTTCTCAATTGTGCCGTCTGCTTTTGTTTTAACGCGAAAGACTCATTTCCTGGTGAGAATGGTCTTGTTCCTTGCCACGCTGGTGGGGACAACTTTCCAGGTGTTCCGTTCCTCCAGCGCCTTTAACTCTCTGTCCATGGCTTCACGCCATTTTTCCTTGTGTTCCCCTCCCAGAGCCTGCTGAACCGTCGTAGGCTCCTTAGGAAGAGTGTTGCCGTGGGCTGCGGTGACGAGTCCGAGGATCTGCAGTCCAGTCTGTGAGTAGCGGGGAAGAGTTGCATCCTAAAAAAAACCAGGGTCTTGCATTCGATGGAAATGCATGGTGCCAGTTAGGGAGTTGTTTTAATCGAGGATGAAAAAGCTTGACTAGGGATGACAGGATGACCATGTTGAACACAAGTTTGAGTTGGTATGGTAACCATCAAAGCCACATGTCTGACTTTAAGATGTCAACAGACTTGATGATTGTACTTGGAAGGTGCTGTAGATGCTTTCAAAATCAGAGGCACCTTGCGCAAAGTGCACATGGGTGTGAAACAAACTGGATTCTAAAGTCCCATTTCATGGTTTCCAATAACAGAAACTATGGTGATCTACTTTCCAAAGCCTAGGCAGTAGTTTTATACAGGCATTAGTCTGGTTTTCCTCTGCCCATCCTACACTTTCGTACGTCACAGTGACTCAGTGAGGCTCAAACTGTGGTTTGCACGGACGCTGCCAGCTCCTCCAGCATCTCCTTCTGCTCCATCGCCACCATGGACTGGTGGGGGCAGGAGAGGGGGAGAGGAAGGAAAGAGGGAAGGGAGGGATGGGGGAAAGAGGGTGGAATGGGATTGCAGAAGAGAGACTTTAGTGAGAGGGAAGGTAAGCCAGCATTTCTTTATGCTCCATCGCTACCATGGACTGGCGGGCTGGGGGGGTGGGGAGAGGTGGGTGGAGAAGAGAAAGACAGCAAGACTTGAAGGAAGATGCTCTTGCATTTTGTTGATTACCACGATCTCCTGCTCCTTCTTTGCATGCTTTTGAGGCGCCTCTCCTTCTGCTCCTTGTTGAAGTTGGCCGAAAAGGTTATCTTGTGTTTGAGTGAGTGCCACCATCTCCTTGTGCTCCTTCCTTGCGTGCCACTGACACCATGGACTGGGCAAGCGGGAAGGAGGGGAGCAAGGGATCGGGCGGGAAAGAAAAACAGAAGAGACAACAGAAGAGATGAGAGAAGAGAAAACAGAAGAGAAAACAGAAGAGGACGGACAGGGAGTGGGGGTATTTGAATAAATGGCATTCTCAGCCTTACTTGTTACAGTTCAAAAATCACCAGTCCTCACCTGGATGGCATCGACTGTCCTCACCTGGATGGCATTGTCCGTCCTCACCTGGATGGCATTGTCCGTCCTCACCTGGATGGCGTTGTCAATATCGCCATTGAGGAACGAGCCGAGGTCATAGTTGATCTTGGTGCGATGGTCCGACACCCGGTTGTCCTGATGGTGTGGGGGGTGGGGAGGGGCGGGTTTGTCTTATCATGATGGTCTGAGTCCTGACCCCTCGTTTTGTACCATTGGCTGGGATGGCAAGCCAAGCCCGCCTCATTGCCCGCATCACATGCCCGAATCATTGAACGCATCACATGCCCGCCTCATTGCCCGCATCACATGCCCGAATCATTGAACGCATCACATGCCCGAATCATTGAACGCATCACATGCCCGCCTCATTGCCCGCATCACATGCCCGAATCATTGAACGCATCACATGCCCGAATCATTGAGCGCATCACATGCCCGCCTCATTGCCCGCATCACATGCCCGAATCATTGAACGCATCACATGCCCGCCTCATTGCCCGCATCACATGCCCGAATCATTGAACGCATCACATGCCCGCCTCATTGCCCGCATCACATGCCCGAATCATTGAACGCATCACATGCCCGCCTCATTGCCCGCATCACATGCCCGAATCATTGAACGCATCACATGCCCGAATCATTGAGCGCATCACATGCCCGCCTCATTGCCCGCATCACATGCCCGAATCATTGAACGCATCACATGCCCGCCTCATTGAACGCATCACATGCCTGCCTCATTGAACGCATCACATGCCCGAATCATTGAATGCATCACATGCCCGCCTCATTGCCCGCATCACATGCCCGAATCATTGAACGCATCACATGCCCGCCTCATTGCCCGCATCACATGCCCGAATCATTGAACGCATCACATGCCCGAATCATTGAACGCATCACATGCCCGCCTCATTGCCCGCATCACATGCCCGAATCATTGAACGCATCACATGCCCGAATCATTGAGCGCATCACATGCCCGCCTCATTGCCCGCATCACATGCCCGAATCATTGAACGCATCACATGCCCGCCTCATTGCCCGCATCACATGCCCGAATCATTGAACGCATCACATGCCCGCCTCATTGCCCGCATCACATGCCCGAATCATTGAACGCATCACATGCCCGCCTCATTGCCCGCATCACATGCCCGAATCATTGAACGCATCACATGCCCGAATCATTGAGCGCATCACATGCCCGCCTCATTGCCCGCATCACATGCCCGAATCATTGAACGCATCACATGCCCGAATCATTGAACGCATCACATGCCCGCCTCATTGAACGCATCACATGCCCGAATCATTGAACGCATCACATGCCCGCCTCATTGCCCGCATCACATGCCCGAATCATTGAACGCATCACATGCCCGCCTCATTGCCCGCATCACATGCCCGCCTCATTGCCCGCATCACATGCCCGAATCATTGAACGCATCACATGCCCGCCTCATTGCCCGCATCACATGCCCGCCTCATTGCCCGCATCACATGCCCGAATCATTGAACGCATCACATGCCCGCCTCATTGCCCGCATCACATGCCCGAATCATTGAACGCGTCACATGCCCGCCTCATTGCCCGCATCACATGCCCGAATCATTGAACGCATCACATGCCCGAATCATTGAACGCATCACATGCCCGCCTCATTGCCCGCATCACATGCCCGAATCATTGAACGCATCACATGCCCGCCTCATTGCCCGCATCACATGCCCGAATCATTGAACGCATCACATGCCCGAATCATTGAACGCATCACATGCCCGCCTCATTGCCTGCCTCACATGCCCGAATCATTGAACGCATCACATGCCCGCCTCATTGCCCGCATCACATGCCCGAATCATTGAACGCATCACATGCCCGCCTCATTGCCCGCATCACATGCCCGAATCATTGAACGCATCACATGCCCGAATCATTGAACGCATCACATGCCCGCCTCATTGCCCGCATCACATGCCCGCCTCATTGCCCGCATCACATGCCCGAATCATTGAACGCATCACATGCCCGCCTCATTTCCCACATCACATGCCCGCCTCATTGCCCGCATCACATGCCCGAATCATTGAACGCATCACATGCCCGCCTCATTGCCCGCATCACATGCCCGCCTCATTGCCCGCATCACATGCCTGCCTCATTGCCCGCATCACATGCCCGCCTCATTGCCCGCATCACATGCCCGCCTCATTGCCCGCATCACATGCCCGAATCATTGAACGCATCACATGCCCGAATCATTGAACGCATCACATGCCCGCCTCATTGCCCGCATCACATGCCCGAATCATTGAACGCATCACATGCCCGCCTCATTGCCCGCATCACATGCCCGAATCATTGAACGCATCACATGCCCGAATCATTGAACGCATCACATGCCCGCCTCATTGCTCGCATCACATGCCCGAATCATTGAACGCATCACATGCCCGCCTCATTGCCCGCATCACATGCCCGAATCATTGAACGCATCACATGCCCGAATCATTGAACGCATCACATGCCCGCCTCATTGCCCGCATCACATGCCCGAATCATTGAACGCATCACATGCCCGCCTCATTGCCCGCATCACATGCCCGAATCATTGAACACATCACATGCCCGCCTCGTTGCCCGCATCACATGCCCGCCTCATTGCCCGCATCACATGCCCGAATCATTGAACGCATCACATGCCCGCCTCATTGCCCGCGTCACATGCCCGAATCATTGCCCGCATCACATGCCCGAATCATTGAACGCATCACATGCCCGAATCATTGAACGCATCACATGCCCGCCTCATTGCCCGCATCACATGCCCGAATCATTGAACGCATCACATGCCCGCCTCATTGCCCGCATCACATGCCCGAATCATTGAACGCATCACATGCCCGCCTCGTTGCCCGCATCACATGCCCGCCTCATTGCCCGCATCACATGCCCGAATCATTGAACGCATCACATGCCCGAATCATTGAGCGCATCACATGCCCGCCTCATTGCCCGCATCACATGCCCGAATCATTGAACGCATCACATGCCCGCCTCATTGAACGCATCACATGCCCGCCTCATTGAACGCATCACATGCCCGAATCATTGAACGCATCACATGCCCGCCTCATTGCCCGCATCACATGCCCGAATCATTGAACGCATCACATGCCCGCCTCATTGCCCGCATCACATGCCCGCCTCATTGCCCGCATCACATGCCCGAATCATTGAACGCATCACATGCCCGCCTCATTGCCCGCATCACATGCCCGCCTCATTGCCCGCATCACATGCCCGAATCATTGAACGCATCACATGCCCGCCTCATTGCTCGCATCACATGCCCGAATCATTGAACGCATCACATGCCCGCCTCATTGCCCGCATCACATGCCCGAATCATTGAACGCATCACATGCCCGAATCATTGAACGCATCACATGCCCGCCTCATTGCCCGCATCACATGTTCGAATCATTGAACGCATCACATGCCCGCCTCATTGCCCGCATCACATGCCCGAATCATTGAACGCATCACATGCCCGAATCATTGAACGCATCACATGCCCGCCTCATTGCCTGCCTCACATGCCCGAATCATTGAACGCATCACATGCCCGAATCATTGAACGCATCACATGCCCGCCTCATTGCCCGCATCACATGCCCGAATCATTGAACGCATCACATGCCCGCCTCATTTCCCACATCACATGCCCGCCTCATTGCCCGCATCACATGCCCGAATCATTGAACGCATCACATGCCCGCCTCATTGCCCGCATCACATGCCCGCCTCACTGCCCGCATCACATGCCTGCCTCATTGCCCGCATCACATGCCCGCCTCATTGCCCGCATCACATGCCCGCCTCATTGCCCGCATGACATGCCCACCTTGTAGTTGTAGGTTCGAATCTTTTCGGAGCGTGAACCCGTGCCGACCTGCATGGGGACAGGCACGACGGGAAAAGGATACGGGAAAAGCACAACAGGCCACAGGGTTCCGTGTTTTCCAGTCTTTGAAAAAAAGCGATGCGTGCGGATGGGCGAGGAATATTCAGGCGCCTATAAAAAGAAAGAGGCTTGGGGTGGGGATGGAGGGGACATGAGGGTGAGGATGTGCGCGCTGACAAAGGGTGATGAGGGGGGGTGAGGAGAAATGGGGCGAGGAGAAGTGCACAGAGACGGAGGTGCCAGAGGCCCACGGAATGAACTCGTGCCACATCCACACCGCAGAACCTCACCTGCGATCGTCTGCGAGAGCTGACTTCGTCCTGTTGCTCCTGCAGCATGCGCTCATAGCTGTGAGGAAAAGGGAGAGGGAGAGGGAAGACAGAGGGAGAGGGAAGACAGAGGGAGAGGGAAGACAGAGGGAGAGGGAAGACAGAGGGAGAGGGAAGACAGAGGGAGAGGGAAGACAGAGGGAGAGGGAAGACAGAGGGAGAGGGAAGACAGAGGGAGAGGGAAGACAGAGGGAGAGGGAAGACAGAGGGAGAGGGAAGACAGAGGGAGAGGGAAGACAGAGGGAGAGGGAAGACAGAGGGAGAGGGAAGACAGAGGGAGAGGGAAGACAGAGGGAGAGGGAAGACAGAGGGAGAGGGAAGACAGAGGGAGAGGGAAGACAGAGGGAGAGGGAAGACAGAGGGAGAGGGAAGACAGAGGGAGAGGGAAGACAGAGGGAGAGGGAAGACAGAGGGAGAGGGAAGACAGAGGGAGAGGGAAGACAGAGGGAGAGGGAAGACAGAGGGAGAGGGAAGACAGAGGGAGAGGGAAGACAGAGGGAGAGGGAAGACAGAGGGAGAGGGAAGACAGAGGGAGAGGGAAGACAGAGGGAGAGGGAAGACAGAGGGAGAGGGAAGACAGAGGGAGAGGGAAGACAGAGGGAGAGGGAAGACAGAGGACAAACAGAGTGAGGGAGAGGAGGCATGGTGACTTTGTTGCAAACTAGCTTCGTCCTGTTGCTCCTGCAGAATGCGCTCATAGCTGTGAGGGAGTGGGTGGGGGTGAGAGAGGAGGGAACAGAGGGCAGACATTGAGTGAGAATAGATGACAAGAGAGCGTGCCATGGTGACCGTGCCGCTGACTAGATTCATCTTCTTGCTCCGCCCGACCCTCCTTTGACATCTCCCCACTTTCCCACCTGTCCTCCTCATCTCCAGCCATCTCCACTCACAGCTTGGCGCGCAGCAGCTGCATGGCGCGGATCTTGTCCTTCAGCTGCGAACAATCCTCTATTCACCCTTCCTTCCCCTGCTCCATTCCAGACCCCTCCCACCCCTCTTTGCCACACCCCCCATCTCCCCTCACCCTCCCCGGCTTCCTCCACTCACAGCTTGGCCCTGAGCAGCTGCATGGCACTCACAGCTTGGCGTGCAGCAGCTGCATGGCACTCACAGCTTGGCCCTGAGCAGCTGCATGGCACTCACAGCTTGGCCCTGAGCAGCTACATGGCACTCACAGCTTGGCGCGCAGCAGCTGCATGGCACTCACAGCTTGGCCCTGAGCAGCTGCATGGCACTCACAGCTTGGCCCTGAGCAGCTGCATGGCACTCACAGCTTGGCCCTGAGCAGCTGCATGGCACTCACAGCTTGGCCCTGAGCAGCTGCATGGCACTCACAGCTTGGCCCTGAGCAGCTGCATGGCACTCACAGCTTGGCCCTGAGCAGCTGCATGGCACTCACAGCTTGGCCCTGAGCAGCTGCATGGCACTCACAGCTTGGCCCTGAGCAGCTGCATGGCACTCACAGCTTGGCCCTGAGCAGCTGCATGGCACTCACAGCTTGGCCCTGAGCAGCTGCATGGCACTCACAGCTTGGCCCTGAGCAGCTGCATGGCACTCACAGCTTGGCCCTGAGCAGCTGCATGGCACTCACAGCTTGGCCCTGAGCAGCTGCATGGCACTCACAGCTTGGCCCTGAGCAGCTGCATGGCACTCACAGCTTGGCCCTGAGCAGCTGCATGGCACTCACAGCTTGGCCCTGAGCAGCTGCATGGCACTCAGAGCTTGGCCCTGAGCAGCTGCATGGCACTCACAGCTTGGCCCTGAGCAGCTGCATGGCACTCACAGCTTGGCCCTGAGCAGCTGCATGGCACTCACAGCCTAAGTGGGAATATACGCGTATAGCGTATATACGCGTGTCGTATATACGCTAGCGTATATACGCTATCCGCTTAGGGGTCCGGTTTGCAGATACGCTTTTTCGGGCAGAGGAAAAACTTTCCGGGCAGGTGAAAAAAGTACTCCCTCTTCTTATTAAGGCTTGCCCTAGCATAATCCTGAATCCGAATGACTAGTACAATGGGAGGTGGAGTAGACCTAATAGCTTGAAAGCGAAGTAGCGTGAACTCTGGTGAAAGCGGGAACGAAATGACGAGTTAGGGTTAGCCAAAAGGGTTGGCTGGTAAGTACCGTGAGATTTGTTGGGGGGTTAAATTTGACAGGTTGGTGTTTGTAGATAAAGTGGGGTTCAATGCGGTAGAAGGGATGGATTTCAATCCCTATATGGATCTCAAATTCAAGATTTGCCAGACGACTTCGAAGTCAGATCCCCGTTTGCCTAGACCGCGGATTTGAATTTCGACTATGGCGAAATGCTCACCTAGGAATTCTTTTTTGCGATTTTTTTTCGGGCAGCCCTAAAAATTTTCTGATAGCGTATAGCGTATTCGCTAGCGTATAGCGGATAGCGTATGTACGCTAGCGTACATACGCTATACGCTTAAGGTGTTAAGCGTATATTCCCACTAAGCTCACAGCTTGGCCCTGAGCAGCTGCATGGCGCGGATCTTGTTCTTGAGCTGCGAGCGCTCCTCCGTGCAGAAGATGCGGATGCCCGTGGGCTTGTGGAACAGGTCTGCCGCCGTCTCCACCTTGTTCACGTTCTGCCCACCTGCGCCTCCTGACCGTGCTGTCGTCAGTTCAATGTCTTTCGGGTCGATCACCACTTCTACCTCATCGATCTAATGGCGTGGGGTAAGGAGATGGGGTGACAGGGGTGGGGTGCGATGGAAAAGGGCATGGGAAATGAAACAGCGGAGGGCGGGAAAGAGGGACGGAGTGAGGGACGCCCGTGGGCTTGTGGAACAGGCCTGCTGCCGTCTCCACCTTGTTCACGTTCTGCCCACCTGCCCCTCCTGACCGCGCTGTGGTGAGCTCGATGTCCTTTGGGTTGATCACCACTTCTAGCTTGTCTATCTGCGGACGTGAGGGGGTGGAGGGAAGGGCAATGGGGGAAGGGAGAGAGGGAGGGAGGGAGGGAGGGAGGGAGGGAGGGAGGGAGGGAGGGAGGGAGGGAGGGAGGGAGGGAGGGAGGGAGGGAGGGAGGGAGGGAGGGAGGGAGGGAGGGAGGGAGGGAGGGAGGGAGGGAGGGAGGGAGGGAGGAGGGAGCGAGGGAGGGAGGGAGGGAGGAAGGGAAGGAGGGAGGGAGGGAGGGAGGGAGGGAGGGAGGGAGGGAGGGAGGAAGGGAGGAGGAGGGAGGGAGGGAGGGAGGGAGGGAGGGAGGGAGGGAGGGAGGGAGGGAGGGAGGGAGGGAGGGAGGGAGGGAGGGAGGGAGGGAGGGAGGGAGGGCAGGAGGGCAGGAGGGAGGGAGAAGAGAGTGAGCAAAATAAGGGGTGCTCGTGGGCTTGTGGAACAGGTAGATGCCGTCTCCACCTTGTTCACGTTCTGCCCGCCTGCCCCGCCCGACCAGCCCGTGGTCACCACCTCCACCTCGTTATCTGATGGGGTGGGGAGCGTTGAGGGGGAAAAGAGCGTAGGAAAGGAAGCACTGTGGGAGAGAGTGTCATGGTGAGCTCGATGTCCTCGGGGTGAATGGGGTGGTTGGGGTGAGGAGAGGAAGGGAAAAGGGCAAGGGAAAGGAAACAAGGAGGGAGGGAAAGGAACCTAGAGGAGATTGCTTTTGAGGTGACTCACGAGGTATGCACACACCCTGCCTGCCGACTCAGTGGCCGGCACGCGGTGCACACCACTCTCGTACTTGAGCTTGCTGTACACACGCTCGCCCTCCCCCTTTCCACCCTTCTCACCTCAGGCATGATCACACGTCCATCTCCACCTTCCCGCCCTCTCACTCACTCACCTCGGCATAATGCCAGCAGCAGTAGCAGTGCAGGTGTGGTGTGCGCCCTGCCTGCTGACTCTGTGCCTGCTCCCATCCCCACTTTCTCCCTTTACCCCCTTCCCCCATTCCCTCCTCCTTCTCTCCCTTCCCCTTTCCACTCACCTCAGGCATGATGGCCACAGTGGCAGTGGAGGTGTGCACCCTCCCTGCAGACTCAGTGGCGGGAACAGGAAAGCGCTGCACGCGGTGCCCCTTCACCTGCTCCCGACCCCGCATTGACCCTTTGCCTCACCTCGGGCATGATGGCCACAGTGGCAGTGGAGGTGTGCACCCGGCCTGCAGACTCAGTGGCAGGCACGCGCTGCACGCGGTGCACCCCGCTCTCGTACTTGAGCTTGCTGTACACGCGCTCGCCCGCTATCTCCATCACGTACTCCTTGAAGCCCCCCATCTCCGCCTGTGCGCACATGGGATGAGAGACATCGGGCGGGACGAGGGGGGAGATGGAGCACGGTGTGTGTGTGTGTGCAGGGTCACTCTGCACTCCCATGCTTGACTTGAGCTGGCCGCACTTCCTGGCTGCCTATCTCCATTTGAGTCGACTAAAAAGCTCAAAAGCACTTCCTGGCTGCCCATCTCCATTTGAGTCGACTCAAAAGCTCAAAAGCACTTCCTGGCTGCCTATCTCCAACATGTCATCCTTCAACACCCCCCATCTCCGCCTGTAGGGGAAGGGCAGGGGGACAGACGGCAGCGAGAGGGGGAGGAGATGGAGCAGCATGCAAGGTCTCTCTGCACTCCCATGCTTGGCTAGAGCTTGCTGTGAACCCGCCCGCTATCTCCAATGTGACTTTTGAGTCGACTCAAATCAAAGGTCACCTTGCTTGCTGTACGCGCCTCTCCTGCTATCTCCGGCACGTATGCGAACCGAAACGATGCAAGGCGAAGCAGGTGATTTTGATTTGAAGGTACCTGCTTAGTACGCCCTCTCGCCCCCTCTCACTCATCCTCTCCTCACTTTCTCACGGACCCCCTCACCCCCTCCCTGGCTCATGTCCTCACTTCCTTCCTTGCTTATCCCCGCACTCACTCCATCACTCTCCCCCTCACTCACTCCATCACTCTCCCCCTCACTCACTCCATCACTCTCCCCCTCACTCACTCCATCACTCTCCCCCCCCACATCCCCTCCCGCACTCCCTCGCGGACCTCAGTGCAGGAAACAGGAGACACTCGCCACCCGTTCTTGTCCGCGTAGCGACCGTACATCTTCACCTGGTGGAGAGCGGTGCAGATGGGTGCACAAGGAGCAACTTAATGAAGGGTGAAAAAGCAAGAACTGTCACGCACATCACTTGTGAGAAATAAGAGTAGAGCAGTGCAGTGCAGTGCGGTGCAGTGCAGTCCAGTGAACTGCAGGGCAGAACTGGGAAGGGAGGCGTTCTATTCCACGTTATGCAAGGCTTGCTGCTGTTGTGGGTCAGGTGGGGAACGAGTGCATCGTGAACGCCGGTCAATGCCAGTCAACGCCGGTCAACACAGCCAGAGCAGGAAACGTCAACAAGAGTGGGTGCGAGAATGCACTCACCAGGTCGCCTGCCCAGATGCCCGCTTCATCCCCTCCCGTGCCCGCCCGCACTGCCGTGATGGACAGTCAGAAGGGGGGGGAGCAGGGAGAGGAGGGCAGGGGGAGGAGGGCGAGAGCGGAGTATGGAAAACAGGACCAGCACACCTGACCCAACACCTCCAACTACCCCCCACCTCCCACCACACACACCTTTTCACAACGCACATGCACCTTCAACGAGGTGAGTAACTCGCCTTGACTAGTCCGAGTTACTCGTGGGGGGCCGAGTAACGAGTATTACTCGACGAGATTTTTGTGCTCGTCGAGAACTCGGCCTTCCTGATGGGCATTATCGGCTACTCAGGGGGAGAGCTTTGCTCGGCTCGGGACAAAACTCGGTCGCGCAAGACCCTGGACGAGTAGTCGAGTTTTGCTCGACTCGTCAGTTTGACCATGTAATCTAGGGGTCGGTGGGCTGGGCAGAAGCAGCACCTTGAGAGTCGCCCCTCCAGCTGTTCTTGAGTCGACCCAAAAGGCAACCACACACCTCCCAGCACACCTGATCCACACCTCAACCTCAAGCTCACCCCCAGCACGATGCTCCTTGCATCGAGGGGTTCAGTGGGCAGCAGCAACACCTTCAAATTCAAGCGCCCCACCAGCTCTCCTAACTTCGCCTCCAACTCGAGTCTACCCAACAAACACACCCACCAACTCCCCGCATATACCCCTCACCTTCCAGCATGATGTTCCTTGCATCAAGCGGGTCGGTGGGCAGCAGCAGCACCTTGAGGCGCCCCTCCAGCTCCTCTAGCTGCGCCTCCAGCTCGCCCACCTCCTCCCCGGCCATCTCCGCCATCTCCGGGTCCGATGCACTGTCCTTCATCAAGGCTGGTGCAAGGAGTGGTAAGGAGTAAGAAGGGGTGAACAGGAGTGAAAGTGAGTAACGAACAGGTGAGCTGTCTGCGCCTCCAGCTCGCCCACCTCCTCCCCGGCCATCTCCGTCATCTCTGGGTCCGATGCACTGTCCTTCATCAGGGCTGGTGCAAGGAGTGGTAAGGAGTAAGAAGGGGTGAACAGGAGTGAAAGTGAGTAACGAACAGGTGAGCTGTCTGCGCCTCCAGCTCGCCCACCTCCTCCCCGGCCATCTCCGTCATCTCTGGGTCCGATGCGCTGTCCTTCATCAGGGCTGGTGCAAGGAGTGGTAAGGAGAAGTGGGAGGCAATGGGAAGGAGTGAAAATGAGTGGGGAGTAGGTAAGCTGTTTAGATCTCCAGCTCGCCCACCTCCTCCCCCGCCATCTCCGCCATAACTGGGTCCGATGCGCTGTCCTTCATTAGGGCTGATGCAAGGAGCGGGAAGGAATGGGGAGGAGTGGGAAGAGTTGGTGCAAGGGGTGGGTGCAATGCAAGCAAAGGGTGCAACGGGGTGCAAGGGGTGCAAGCATTGCCAGGCATTGCAATAGTCACCTTTTGCGTCAGCCAGTTGCTGCTGCTTGTCCTTCCACTCCGCATAGGCACTCGCCACCTGCCAGGCCATGGTGGGAATGTGTGATGGCGAGGATGTGAGATTAGTAAGTGGCACTGCGGGTTGATGCATGATACGATGTGGCATGTCATGGACGATGTGGGATGGGCATGTGGGGATGTGGGGAAGTGGAATGGGATGTGGAATGTGTGTGGAGGATGTGGGGATGTGGGATGTGGGATGTGGGATGTGGGGATGTGGGATGTGGGATGTGGGATGTGGGGATGTGGGATGTGGGATGTGGGATGTGGGGATGTGGGATGTGGGATGTGGGGATGTGGGATGTGGGATGTGGGATGTGGGATGTGGGATGTGGGATGTGGGATGTGGGATGTGGGATGTGGGATGTGGGATGTGGGATGTGGGATGTGGGATGTGGGGATGTGGGATGAGGGATGTGGGGATGTGGGATGTGGGGATGTGGGATGTGGGATGTGGGATGTGGGGATGTGGGATGTGGGGATGTGGGATGTGGGATGTGGGGATGTGGGATGAGGGATGTGGGGATGTGGGATGTGGGATGTGGGATGTGGGATGTGGGGATGTGGGATGTGGGATGTGGGATGTGGGGATGTGGGATGTGGGATGTGGGACGTGGGATGTGGGATCTGATCGGGGGCGTGGGATGTGGACAGGTGGGCACGCAATGACACACCACCCACCCATGTATGCATACCAGCGCCACGTTAGATGCAGCCCATTCCGCGGCCCCTTATCATTCCATTCACCTCTCCCCTGCTTTCTCACCCCACGTGGCACTGATAGGATGGTACTGCCCATACAAGTCCTCCCCCCAAGCAGGGTGAGTATCCATCGTCAGTGCTCCCAACCCAACTACCTCCCCTCCCCCTCAACTCATCAATCACCTCGTACCTACTCCCAACTACCTCCCCTCCCCCTCAACTCATCAATCACCTCGTACCTACTCCCAACTACCTCCCCTCCCCCTCAACTCATCAATCACCTCGTACCTACTCCCAACTACCTCCCCTCCCCCTCAACTCATCAATCACATCGTACCTACTCCCAACTACCTCCCCTCCCCCTCAACTCATCAATCACCTCGTACCTACTCCCAACTACCTCCCCTCCCCCTCAACTCATCAATCACATCGTACCTACTCCCAACTACCTCCCCTCCCCCTCAACTCATCAATCACCTCGTACCTACTCCCAACTACCTCGGACCCCACTCCTCTATCCCCCTCTCTCCTCCTTTACCCCCTCTATCCGCTCCATATACCCCTTTGCTCACCCACTCACCTCCTCGATCTCCCCGGCGGACTTGGCAATGCGCATGTACTCTGTCGCGTTGGACGCCACCTCGGGATCTGCCAGTCGAATCTGGTGGTGGGGCACGCGCGGGGGGAACAGGTGGGGGGAACGGGTGGGGGGAACGGGTGGGGGGCACGGGTGGGGGGAACGGGTGGGGGGAACGGGTGGGGGGCACGGGTGGGGTGGGGGGCACGGGCGGGGGGAACGGGCGGGGGGGACGGGTGGGGGAAACGGGTGGGGGGCACGGGTGGGGGGAACGGGTGGGGGGAACGGGTGGGGGGAACGGGTGGGGGGAACAGGTGGGGGGAACGGGTGGGGGGAACGGGTGGGGGGAACGGGTGGGGGGCACGGGTGGGGTGGGGGGCACGGGCGGGGGGAACGGGCGGGGGGGACGGGCGGGGTGACGGGTGGGAGGAACGGGTGTTATTGAGGATGGAGGAAAGGAAGGGGGAAAAGGGTGTGGGGAAAGAATGGGGGAAAGGAAGGAGGAAAAGGGTGTGGGGAAAGAATGGGGGAAAGGAAGGGGGGAAAATGGTGTGGGGAAAAAATGGGGGAAAGGAAGGGGGGAAAAGGGCGTGGGGAAAGAATGGGGGAAAGGAAGGGGGGAAAAGGGTGTGGGGAAAGAATGGGGGAAAGGAAGGGGGGAAAAGGGTGTGGGGAAAGAATGGGGGAAAGGAAGGGGGGAAAATGGTGTGGGGAAAAAATGGGGGAAAGGAAGGGGGGAAAAGGGCGTGGGGAAAGAATGGGGGAAAGGAAGGGGGGAAAAGGGTGTGGGGAAAGAATGGGGGAAAGGAAGGGGGAAAGCCGGGGCAGATAGAAACAAATGGAGCAGAGCCGGGTTTAAGGAGCACATGCAGAAGCAAGGGGCAGGAAATGGTAGGGGTACAATGGGAAGACGAAGAGGAAATGGATAGAACGCAAAGAGAATGCGACTCACAGAAAGTTCTTTGAAGGTTCGCTCTGCAGAGTCTAGCTTCGTGATGACGTAAGCCTCCTGATGGGGAAAGAGAGAATGGGAAGAGTGGAGAGCGGAGACGGAAGAGGAGAAAAGGGAGGGGAGCGGGTGGAGTAGGAGGGGAATGGAGGGGCTAGGGTGAAGGAGCTGGCTGGGTAGGCGGGAGGAAGTGATGAGGCTTAAACCCTTCAGAGAAAAGGGAGAGAGCTCTGAAAGAACCTGCGCGCTGAACCTGAGAGAGTGCTGCATGGCAGAGAAGCGTTGGTCTATACCAACCAACATGGCGCACTCCTGAGAAGCTGGTTCGGCTTCCAGGAGACTCCGAAAGGCACGCTCAGGCGATCATGACATCGCCCCCTTTCTGAGACAGTGTGAACCCAGAAGCTACTGTCAGAGCTCTTCAGGTGGAGGCGAAACTTCCATTCTACTCCGCGCCAGAAGGTCGACAGAAGGACCGTGGGAGCCAGTCTACCGAGGAGCGGACAGCACTGGGTTGATCGTGATTGTGATTTGACCACGAGTCACGGGAATTGCGGTGATCGGACTCACTGCGCTACGAAGACAGAATCGGCGCCAGCACGCACCAGAGCACTACGGACAACGAATGCCATCCCTGGCCGAACCTCGCGCCCCGAAGCTCCTGCATTCCCCGCAATCTGCGCAGCGGAGCGCTGCCGCCACGTGGAGGCTCCGATTAACGCGGAACAGCTGGCGAGCGAATGGGCTCGTTGCTGAAGAGAGCATCCTGCGGCAGACCCGGCGAGATTTGCGGCGGGATTGGCGGTGAGGCGACACGAGTGGACCGCATTGCACCTGCCGGTTCCCGTCGCGGTCGACGTGACAGGCGAAGTGGTAACCGCGCTGCATGATGTGGTGGCGACGCCGTGGGCTGCGACGGACTGAAGACGAGAAGCCATTGCGAAACGATAGTTTCAGAAAAGTTCACTTGACTGAGCAAGCGGACTGAATATCAGGGACGTTGGGTTGGTTGGGGATTCCTGAGGTCGCTGCTGTATCTGATCGGCTGGGGCGGGTGATGACTGCTGTTCCTGCTCGGGCACTTTTAGCGAAAATATTACACTTGGTAACTCTACACGGGATGCAGGCGGTTTTCTTGATTGGCGAGGTGGCTTAAGACTCTCACGAACTTGTGGTGCCTACCGCGCCACGTCAACTGACGCTACTCTGTTACCGAATCTACCATTAGTTCGTTATGAGATAACTCGGTGGCTACAGAATGTACATATCACATCATATTTCGTCTACGCTCATATATCTTGTAACCAGCTTGTTGTCAAAGCAATCTTTCCATCACGTCAGGTGTGAGCCTGATGAATCTTAATTTTACAATGCTTCTTCATCCACAACTAGTTTTGCACAGTTATCACTCATATACATGGGTGCACAAGAAGAAAATGGGAGACACGAGAATGAGAAAGAGAAAGGGAGACACTAAAACAGAAAGGCTTGTACTGTACATCCACCAACCAGCCTCACATGCAGCTCCTTATTCCGTGGTGCGTGCCAACATCAAGTGCTACGCCTGTTACCTTTTCTGCTGCTCGTGATGCTGCTGTTGCTGCTGGTGATGTTGATGCTGATGATGCTGGGGGTGGGGTGGATGCCGGTGCTGCTGCTGATGATGTCGCTGGTGGGGATGAGGATGGGGGTGGGGGTGGCGGCGCTGCTGCTGCAGGCGGCGCATCTCGCTCTTCTCGTGCTCCTCGTACACGGGCAGGCTGCGGATGTGCTGCACCTCCTTCAGCAGCACCTCCTCTGTGATGTTGTCTCGGATGCTCTCCATCACCTGTGAGAGAGGGGAGGCAGCAGCATGAGAGGAGGCAGCACATACATCCACACACGCACATCCCCCCCTACACATGTGCTGCACCTCCTTCAGCAGCACCTCCTCTGTGATGTTTTCTCGGATGTTCTCCATCACCTACGCGGGCCAGAAGTGCATGCAGACAGCCAGGTTACAAGCATGAGATCAGATCATGAGGCCACACACACATATACACACACACGCGTGTGCGACGCGTTGGGCGCCCAACCCTCATGACTTCCCACACGCCATCGGACCATAACATGCATTACAAAAACCTTTACCACAAGCAGACTTATAAGTCAACTCAAAAGAGGTGACTTTTGAGTCGACTCAAAAGTCAGCCCTCATGACCTCCCACACGCCATCGGACCATAACATGCATTACACAAACCTTTACCACAAGCATCAGCACGCCCACCTTGAGGTACGTGTGCCATGCGTTGGGGTGCTCCTTGTCAGTGCGCACGCGCATGAACTCCCACTCGGCCTCGTCCTTCTTCCAGCAGCACTCCACTATCTTCCCCTCCAGCTCCTTCGCCTCCTCCTCACTCATGCCTGAGGGAAAAAGACGGGAGAGTAAGGGGGGGAAGGGGGGTTGGGTGGGCGTTGTGGGTGTTTTTGGGCAAAGAGAGGTGTTGTGTGAATGTGTAGAGCTGAAACCCCATGTCGTGATGCCAGCAGCAGCACTCCACTATCTTGCCCTCTAGCTCGTTCGCCCCTCCTCACTCATGCCTTCAGGGGGCGGGGGGCGGAAGGAAGGGGAGGGGGGTGGGGGGGGGATTGGGTTTCAGGGGCGAGGACAAGCGTTATGGATGAATGGAAACTCCATGTTGTGGCGCAAACAGCACTCCACTATCTTCCCTTCCCCTCCAGTGACCTCGCCTCCTCATTCGTCTCCAAGGAGGGTATAGAAAAAACAGGGAGAGGATACGGGAGGCAGGGGGTGAAGAGAGGTTGGGGGTGGTTTGGTTTGTCTTAGGGCAAGTGAGGTGTTATAAATGAGCTCCAAGTTTGGTTCAGCAGCAATCCACTATATTCCTATCCAGCTCGTTGGCTCCTCCGCACGCATTCCTAAGCAGGGAAAGAATGGAGAGGAGTTTTGTGCGCGAAGTGTTATGAAAGCGCAAACGTGAGCAGAACTCCGCTTGCTTGCCCTCCAACTGTGATCAGTCTATTTTCCAGTCGACTCAACAACAGACTCATCAAACGTGAGAGGAACTCCCTAGCTTGCCCTCCAACTCTGTTCCCCCCTCCTTACTCGTGTCGAGCAGCGGAGGTGTGGATTGGACAAAGAGACGCGGTTATGGCATAGTCAGAATGGTCTTTTACACTGGTGTGGGGCCAGAGCAGGAGAGCAGGAGGGAAGGAGGAGAGCAGGAGAGCCAAGGAAAGCACGAGGCACCGACCAGGGCGGGTGAACTTGGCTGCTGATCGCGCTCGCAGCGTCTTCCTGTCAGAGAGACTTTTGAGACGTCTCAAAGGAGCAAAGAGCAAAGCAGAGAGCACAGCAAAGCAGGAGGGAGGCACCGACCAGGGTGGGTGAACTTGGCTGCTGGTAGCGCTCGCAGCGTCTTCCTGTCGGACAGCAGCAGCACCCACTTGCCCTCCGGTGATTTCTGCACCGCAGCACGCACGGGGTACGACGGGGGGAGAGGAGTGGGGAAGATGAAGAGGAGGTGCTGAAAGTGAGACGAGGTGTAGTGGAAAGAGGAAAGGAGCCAGGGGGGTTGAGTGAGCACAGGGGGAGTGTGCTGTGTTGGAGGGGGAATCAACAGGGCTGGGTAGGAGTTAACAGGAGTCAATAGGAGTCAACCAGAGGTCAGCGGGAGTCAGCAGGAGTCCACATGAGTCAAGGTAAGTCAACAGGAGTCAGCATCACGAGTCATCAGGAGTCAATGCACCTTGAGGCAGAAGTCAACGGAGTTCATGTGAGCATACTTCCACTTAAGCAGGCCCTCGTGCGTGCGTGGCACATATGCATCGTTCCACCCCTGCACAAGGGAAGGGCAGGCGAGGGCAGGCGAGGGCAGACGAGGGCAGGCGAGGGCAGGCGAGGAAATTAGGGGCATACAAGAGAGACGCTCAATATAAGCACGTAGGGCAAGGAGCTCATGAGGGCAAGGCGAATGAGCATCGTTCATTCCATCCTTGCCTGCGAAAGATCATGAAAGATATGGAAAGGTGATGAAAGGTGGCGTTTGGGAAGGGGAGGCAAAAAGTCGCAACTTGGGTCCAGGATGCGGGGGGATGGAGGGGGCAGAGAACGAGGGAGGAGATGCCAGAAGCAGAGGGTGTGAGGAAGAAGCAGAATGGAAAAGCAAGGATGCAGAGATGACCTCACTTGGACAACCAGCCTACTTGCATGGCAACCAAGTGAATGTGACATTTGACTGGGTGAGAGCACACTGGCTTGCTACAAGCTCGCCTGCATGTCCTCGCAGTGACTGACTGACTGACAGCCTGACTGACTGACTGACTGACTGACTGACTGACTGACTGACTGACTGACTGACTGACTGACTGACTGACTGACTGACTGACTGACTGACTGACTGACTGACTGACTGACTGACTGACTGACTGACTGACTGACTGAATGACGGACTGACAGACTGACGATGGATGTGCAGGATGAGTCCGTCGGACTCGTGGCTGAGCTTGGGAATGAAGTTGTGCCCACCTGGGACTCAATGAGTCACTCATTCCTCACTCACTCACTCACTCACTCACTCCCTCACTCACTCACTCACTCACTCCCTCACTCACTCACTCACTCCCTCACTCACTCCTCACTCCCTCCCTCACTCCCTCACACACTCTCTCACTCACTCACCGACCGACTGACGGACCTGCAGGATGAGTCCATCGGACTCGTGGCTGAGCTTGGGGATGAAGTCGTGCAGCAGCTTGCCCACTGTGCTCAGCATGTAGAAGTCCTTGCGCCGCACCTAATCATAGCATGCATGGGGAAGAGTGCATGGGAGGACACGGGGCGTGGGGTGTGGGGTATGGGGTATGGGGTATGGAGCACAGCAGCTTGCCCACCGTGCTGAGCATGTAGAAGTCCTTGCGCCGCACCTAATCATAGCATGCATGGGGAAGAGTGCATGGGAGGACACGGGGCGTGGGGTGTGGGGTATGGGGTATGGGGTATGGAGCACAGCAGCTTGCCCACCGTGCTGAGCATGTAGAAGTCCTTGCGCCGCACCTGGTGGGTGGGGGTGATGGTGGGGGTGCATGGTTGGTACATGAGGCACAAGGCATGGATCATGCATGGGGCAAAGCAGCTTGCCTACCGTGCTGACCATGTAAAAGCCCTTGCGCCGCACCTGGTGGTGCATGCATGGGGAATAATGCAAGGGGCATGTGGCATGGCGCATGACACGTGGCACATGTTGCTTGACATGTGAGGCACGAGCAGGCAGGCATGGAGCATGGGGTATGGAACATCACGCATGACATATGACAAATGGATGTTATGCACAGTACAGGATTCACTTTCATGTGACATTCTCCTGACAATCAACTTTCATATGTTAACACTGTCCACCAGACCACCCTTCAACCTGTTGAAACCCTTCCAGCTGAGCGCACCTTGAAGTCCTCCCAATCCAAGCTGTGGTCATACAGGGTGTTCATCGCTGCATCCATCTTCAAATCCTTCAAGCTGCAATCACCTTTCAACCTGAGCGCACCTTGAAGCCCTCCAGGCTGTAGTCGTACGGGGGGTTCATTCATGGCTGCATGCATCGTCTGCGGCGGGGCACCACCTGGAAGCCATCAAGTTGCAATCACCCTGGAAACCCTTCAAGGCTCAAGCAGCAACCAATCACCTTGAAGTCCTCCAGGCTGTAGTCATAAAGGGGGTTCATGGCTGCATCCATCTTGCGCGGCGCCACCACCTCCCTCTCTATCAGCTCAAACCGCTCCGCGAATGGTCTCTGTATGGGGAAGAAAGAATGGAGCAAGGGGGCAGACGAATGGTGAGAGTATAGGTTATCATTTAGTGTTTCAAAATAGTATGCACCACCTCTCTCTCGATTAGCTCAAAGTTTCAAACCGCTCCGCAAGCGGTCAAAGTGGGGAAGTGCAAGAATGGCAGGAAGGGAGCAAATGAGAGGCAAGGAGCAAGGAAGAAGAATAGTGAGATGGAAGCAGAGGAGTAGAACACAAAGACACACATGTCAAGCCACCCCCACACACCATTCAAAGCCCCTCGCACCCCCCTCCTTGACTCACATCTCCCAGCGGCACGCTGTCAAGCATCATGAGATCATAGATGAGGTAGCGCCGCTCCTGCACGTCAGTGCCGGGCAGCTCATCCACCACCATCTCGCCGTCCAGCAGTGTGGTGCGGTGCACGTCCCAGTCGTCCACCGGCTTGTGCTGCAGGTGCTTGCGCGCGGGAAACCTCATTTGCACTCGCCGAAACCGGAAGTTTCTGGTGGGGGAAGGGAGGAGAGAGGGGGGGAAGAGAGGGGGAGGGGGGGGGGGGGGGGAGAGAAGGGGAAGGCGAAGCTGGGACAAATAATTCCTGCTGATGAGTCGCCACTCCTCCTGGGAGATTCTGCAGCAGGTGCGGGCATCCAGGTGGGACACGCCAGCGCCCAGTAGCACACCTGCCGATGACGCAAGCACACCTGCCGATGACGCAAGCACACCTGCCGATGACGCAAGCACACCTGCCGATGACGCAAGCACACCTGCCGATGACGCAAGCACACCGATGACGCAAGCACACCTGCCGATGACGCAAGCACACCTGCCGATGACGCAAGCACACCTGCCGATGAGGTGGCAGCATTCACATATCGGGATGTGTGATGACACACATACCTGTCTGTCAGGGCAAATGAGCATCACATATCGCATAAAAAGACAGTCTCTGTCAATGCACGCACCTGTCAAGGCAAGCGCACCTGTCGATGAGGTAGCAGCCATTGGGGCAGATGAGCATCATGTAGCGCGTGCCAAGACAGGCACTGTAAGCTCAAGCACCTGCTGTCACTAGAAGCGCACCTGTCGATGAGGTAGCAGCCGTCAGGGCAGATGAGCATCATGTAGCGCGTGCCATCGGCCTTCCATGTCACATAGTACAGCCGCTGCCGCAGCAGCTGCAGATTCTTGCTGCATCGTACATACAGAACACATACATGTGGAAAGGGCAGTGCAGAGATTATGCTGAAGGTTCATGCTGTGAGAAACTCTAGTGTTGATTGTATTAAGGAAACGTTGGGCTTACATAGGAGGAAGAAAAGCGAGGAAACTATGTTAGATTATACTACTCTTCTGTATCCTGCATTGATCCTATAAACCCTAGGATAGAGATAGGCACCCAAACTATGTTTGGGTGCACAACTAGGGTTAACCCTAGTTGGGGGTTGGAACCCAACCTTGGTCCAATTATTGGCCTCCAAGGTTGGGTTGGGAGATTATTGGCCCCCCCAATAATGTTGGCCCACCTTTGGCCAACATTATTGGAACCCCCCAATAATTCTCCAACCCAACTTATTAGTGGGGGGCTAATAATGTTGGCTAGGTAACGAAACGACCCCCCCTCCCCTAGCTTCCACTATGTAAACCCTCATGATTCCTAATCAAGTGACTGGTTCAATTCTAACATGCTATCAGAGCTCTTACGGCTAACGCCGCTCAAGATCCTAGGACCCCTCGCGCCACTTAGCGCACCTCTCGCCGGCTTTGCCGCACCTCTCGCGCCACTTAGCGCACCTCTCGCGCCACTTAGCGCACCTCTCCCCGGCTCTGCCGCGTCTCTCGCGCCACTTAAGCGCACCTCCCCGGCTCTGCCGCGCCCCTCGCGCTACTTAGCGCACGTCCGCCGGCTCTGCCGTGCCCCTCGCGCCATCTCGGCGCTCCTCTCCTCGCCTCGACCGTCCGCCGCGACGAACGCGACCGTCAGCCGCGGACGCGACGAACGCGGCCGTCAGCCGCGGACGCGATGAACGCGGCCGTCAGCCGCGGACGCGACGAACGCGGCCGTCCGCCGCGGACGCGACGAACGCGGACAGCCGCCGCGGACGCGACGAATGCGGACAGCCACCGCGGACGGGGCGAGCGCGGGCAGCCGCCGCGGACGCGACGAACGCGGACAGCCGCCGCGGACGGGGCGAGCGCGGGCAGCCGCCGCAGACGCGACATCCGCGGACAGCCGCCGCGGACGGGGCGAGCGCGGGCAGCCGCCGCGGACGCGACATCCGCGGACAGCCGCCGCGGACGGGGCGAACGCGGGCAGCCGCCGCGGACGCGACATCCGCGGACAGCCGCCGCGGACGGGGCGAACGCGGGCAGCCGCCGCGGACGCGACATCCGCGGACAGCCGCCGCGGACGGGACGAACGCGGGCAGCCGCCGCGGACGCGACATCCGCGGACAGCCGCCGCGGACGGGACGAACACGGGCAGCCGCCGTGGACGCAGGCAGCAGCCGCGAACGCGACCAGACGGGGGAGTAACCAGCTGCGGACAGCACGCAGCTCATCTCCACCACTGACCGCGCCGTCCCTCCGGACAGCGTCGTCACCTCTAGCACCTCCACCCTCCCCTCCTCCCTCCCTCCCTCCCTCCCTCACTCGTCATGGCGGACGAACCTTCGTCACTTGAGCTCGCCTCAATAGACAAACTCGAGCTCCTCAACGGCACCACCGCAGTCAATTGGGTGTCGTTTGAAGAGAGCCTCTTCACGTACCTTGGCTCCGTTCGAGTGGGAGATTATTGCCTCCTTGACGTCGTCCTCGAAACGCCTCACGGCCTCCCTCCCACCCCGCCCCCGCTCCCAGGCTCCTCCCCCCCTGACGCCCCACCACTCCCGACCGAACCCGCCCCTCAAGCCCCCATCCTAGGGGCTTGGGAGGATGACCCAGACAGGTGGGCTCGCACCCTCAACAAGTACAACAAGGAGCGGGACGACTATGTCATCAAGGGCAGAGCACACGCGGCTGCCGTCGCCGCTCACGAAGCTGCTACTGCAAAGCTTGCAGAGTTTCAAGCCACCTCCGAAGCATACTCTACTAACCTTCGTAAGCACGACTCCGATACTGCTGCATGGCGCATTACTGACCGGCGTGCACTCACTGTCATCTTCTCGTGCATTCCCTCCTCTCTTAAACGTGACCTTCGCCCTCCATCCTCCCCCTCTCTCTGGAAGTCTCTCTCCTCTCAATATGATCGTCAGGACTTACGTTCCCTCCTCTCCTTCTTTCGCACCATCCAAGACATCACCCTTGACTCCTCCCTCAATGCCGCCTCCTTCGCTCGGCGTCTCACGGATACTGCGCAACGCCTCAATGATCGAGGCATTTTGATCTCAGACACCTTTCTTACAGCACGCATCCTTGACAGCCTCCCACCCACCTATGACACTTACCGCATCAACTTCACCTCCCAGCACATTCGTCCTCCTCCTGTGGCTATTACCATCGACTGGCTCCTTGACAGTGAGGCTGACCTCCTACGTGACTCTGCAACGGTCAATGCATTCCACGCTCGCAAACGAACCACTAACGCCGGCGGAAGCAGCAGCAGTGGACCTAGACGTGGCTCAAACAGAGGTGGTCGAGGAGGCGGTCGCGGAGGCGGACGAGGAGGGCGCACTGGGGAACGCGGCGGACGTGGAGCAACTACTCCATCCACAAGTGGGTTTCCCCCGTGCCAGTACGTCATTCGTCAAGGCCCTAACAAAGGTCAGACCTGCAACCAGACCACTCACCCAACTGAAACGTGCTTCAAAGCCCTCACTGATGAATGGCTTGCACGCGGCAACACAGGCCCCCCTCCACGTTGGAACACCATCACCCCTCGCCCCACCCCTCATGACATTCGCACTCTCTCCACCTATGCTCCCTCTCCACCTAACCTCCATAATGTCCTCGCTCAGCACCTCTCCCCTCACGTCCTCCAGCAAGTCCAACACCTTCTCCCCACACCCACCACCACCCCCACGCCCTCCATCCCCACCACTCCGCCTCCACCCACGCCCCCACCTCAAACCCCTCCCTCCCCCTATCCTCCTCTCTATCCTCCTCCTTATGCCGGCTGGCCCTACCCTCCCTACCCCCCATCTATGTATGGCCATGGAACTGCCGCAACTGCTGCAACTGCCGCAGCTGCTGAACAACCCACCTCCTCCTCTCACCCCTCCGGCTTCACACCGTTTCCTTCCACGGGCTTCATAGGTCATGTCACTAATGCTAGCTCTTGCAATGATCCTATATACCAATGCTATTAATGAATCCTCATTCCAGTACTCCGTGTCCTCCTCCTCCCCTCAGCCCCTTGAGTTCATCCTTGACAGCGGAGCCACACACACGGTCCTTCGTGATGCAGGCACGCTCCTCCCTCTCTCCACCCCCTCCACAATCTATGGGGCTGACTCAAGCTTTGCCATACAAAGCCGTTACACCTCCACACTCCCCTGTCCCCTCTTTCCCTCAGGTACCGTCACAGGTCTCTATATCCCCTCCCTTCGTAACAGCCTGGTATCCCTTGGTGCCCTCTCAACAGCAGGTGTCACCGCCCTATTCCCTGGTCACGCAGCATATTGTGACTTATTTCACACCTCCTCCGGTCGCTTCCTCTGCCGTGTCCATCGGTGCCCCTCCACCTACATGTACACCTTCCGCATCCCCCGTCCCACCCTTCACCAACTCTCCACAGCCCATCCCCCCACCCCTTCCCCTCCTCTCGAACCTCCCCCTCCCCCTCCCCCTCCCCATCCCCCTCCCCCTCCCCCTGTCACTGTCGTGATCTCACACACCACACCATTCTCCTCCACCATCGCCTAGGCCATCCCAACTTTGCCACCCTTCGCCGATCCATCCTCACTAAACTCCTTGACGGTCTCCCCCTTACCCTTTCCCCCCTCCCTCCTTCCCCCTCCCCTCCTTGCTCAGTTTGCGTTGAAAGCAAGCTGAAGCAACAACCACACACGAGTAATCCCTCATTTTCCCTCCAACCCCTTGACCTCGTCCACATGGATCTTTGAGGCCCTAACCCTTCCCCCACCAGGCAAGGACATCGCTATCTCCTCATCCTGGTGGATGATCACAGTCGTTACTCCTCCGTCACCCTCCTTCGTACGAAGGCGGAGGCCCCGGCTGCAATCACTGCCTAGGCTGAACAAGCACGCAACCACTTCGGTCGCCCTGTTCGCCGCTTCCATTCCGATGGAGGCAGTGAGTTCCTTAACCGCACCTTGTCCTCCTACTGCACCTCTCACGGCATCCTCCACACCTACACTCTCCCTCACTCCCCTCAGCAGAATGGTGTGGCGGAGAGCCGCGTTCGGGAGATCACCAAAACTGCTCGGTGCCTCCTCGTTCACGCTTCCTGCCCACCTTCTCTTTGGGGCTATGCCATCCTTCACGCTGCCATCCTCACTAATGTGAGAGTACGACGGCTTATGCCAGCTATGCTTGCTTGCCTTTACTTTATTATGCTATTTCTAGCATATGATAATTATATGCATGCATGAGTTGCTTGATTTCTTAGGCTAGGTGCTTTCCTAGATTTTATTATAGTTATAGCACCGAGCTAGGTTGCGTGCACCGAATTCTGGCTTTTCGGTTGCCACCGAATTGCCTTCTACCGAATTCGGGAAGGATCGGTTCGGGACGCTTCGCGACCCGCGGAACCTTCGCGTAACACCTGATTACGGGGCCTTGTGTCGAGCCTATATATAGCCTCGTGTTGTACCCAGGTGATCATTCAATTCAATTCAATTACAATTCTCTTTTCTAAGCTCGATCCTAGATCCTCACAACTAACCTCTACCCCCACCCTTCCCGTCCCACCTCCACCCCCACCGAACTATGGACCTCCAGCAAGCCTGACATATCTCCTCTGCGTGTCTGGGGTTGCAAGGCGTATGTCCTCATACACCCTGCCGACCGCTCACGCGCACGTGGAAAGCTTGCGTCCCACACACTCCCCTGTGTCTACCTTGGACACAACTCCAACTCACCTGACTACCTTTTCCTCCACCCCCCCTCAGGCCGCCTCATCCGTAGTCGGGACGTGGTCTTTGACGAGGCCACCCCGTACTACACCTCCCCCTCCGCCCCTAACCCCCTTCCCCCATTTCCCCGGCCCCTTCTCTGGACTGACACCCTGCCCCTCCTCCCGTCCCCTACCATGACCCCTCCCCCCGCTCCTCCACCCCTCCCCCCTCCACTCTCCTCCAACTCCTCCGGCGACATCCTTAACCCACCCCCCCCCTCCCCCTCCCACTCCACTACCTCACCTTCCGCTGCAACTCACCTCCCTCCTCCTCCTCCCCCTCCTCCACCTCCCCCGCCCCCTTCCCCTCCATCCCCCCTCCCCTCCTCTAATCCGCCCCCCCCCTCCGCCTCCCCCCCCTCTTCCCCAACGCCCCTCCCCTACCGTTGTCCTTCCCCGCCATCCCCACACCCGCTCCCTGGACCCCATCCTTGGTTCCCCTAAGACTTCCCCCCCCTCCCTCCTCGCCCTCACCGGTACTTCCCTCCCCCCCCGCTTCAGCCCCCTCACTCCAGATCCACTGCGCAACCGCTCCACGCTCTTGACAGCACCACCGCGCAGCCGAGCAGCAGCACTTCCATGTCGCAGACTCGACCTTCAACGCAGCTGTCTTGCATCTTCACCACCCCCTCTTCCTCCTCCTCTCTCTCCTCTCCTCTATGAAGACACCCACGACGAACTCCTCTTCCTCCACCTCCTCGCGCCCTCCATCGCCCCCATCGTCCGCACCATGGCAGGCACTCCAGTTCTTCTCTTCTCGGGCACCCCCACCATCTTCGAACCCACCACGTACGAGGAGGCAATTGCCTGCCTCGACGCACCGCTCTGGATTGAAGCCATGGTCAAGGAAAGCAACGCCTTCATCCGCAACCGCTCCTTCATCAACGTCCCTTGCCCTGCCAAGACCAATGTCGTCAAGGGCAAATGGCTCTTCCGTGTCAAGCTTCTCTCTGGCGAAGACCCTGTCTACAAAGCTCGCTATGTGGCGAAGGGATTCACGCAGAAACACAGCTTTGACTTCTTTGAAACATACTCACCCACTGCTACCCCACCGGTCGTTCGGGTGTTCCTCGACTTCGTCGGCAGACGCGGCATGCTGCTACACTCCATGGATGTCACTACAGCCTTCCTCCAAGGCGACCTACACGAACTCATCTTCATGGAACGCCCCAAAGGCTTTCATGCTCCACATGACCCGTCCACCGTTTGGAAGCTGCTGCGGCCCGTCTACGGCCTCAAGCAGGCACCCCGGGAGTGGCATGCCAAGCTCTCTTCCACCCTTCGCGAGCTTGGTTTTCGCCCCTCCCGAGCGGCCTCCAGCCTCTTCCTTCGGACGGCTCCGTCACCTTTCTACATTCTCGTCTACGTCGACGACATGCTACTAGCCACCGACACAAATGTTGAGATGCAGGAGGTCAAGGACGAACTACAGCGTCGACTCGCCTGCAAAGACCTGGGGGAGGTCCGCAACTACCTTGGCATGGAGATCACCCGCGACCTCAAGGCCAAGACTATCTCCCTCTCTCAGTCCTTCTACATTGAGAAGGTCCTTGAGAGGTTTGGAATGTCAAAAGCCAAGCCCATCGCCACCCCGCTTGCAGTTGGGCACCAGCTCGCGCCCCCTAACAGCCCCACCGGCTCCTCAAACCCCTATGCAGAGCTTGTCGGGGCCCTGATGTACGCCATGGTCTGCACCCGCCCCGACCTTGCCTACCCAGTCAGTGTTCTGGCGCGATTCGTTGGCGTCGGCAGGCACACAGAGGAACACATGACGGCGGCCCGGCGTGTCCTACGCTACCTTCAGCACACGAAGGATTACACCCTCACCCTTGGTGGAGCAGACCCGCCGGTTCTCACTGGCTTCAGCGACTCGTCCTGGGCGGACTCACAGCCTGACCGTCGCAGCTCACAAGGATATGGCTTCACCCTTGGGAGCGGCCTCATTAGCTGGCGCTCCACCCGCTCCTCCTCCATCGCCCTCTCCTCCTGCGAGGCTGAACTTTACGCGGTCATGATGGCAGCACAGGAAGCACGCTGGCTCAGCTATCTCCTCACAGACCTTAGCTCACCACAGCCCTGTCCCACTCTCTGGTGTGACAACGCCAGCACCATCCACCTCACCAAAGAAGCTGTGTTCCATGGTCGCTCCAAGCATATCGAGCTGCGACACTACTTCGTCCGCGATCTTGTCCACGATGGTCACATTACCGTGCGCGAAATCGACTCGTCCTCCAACCCCGCAGACATATTCACTAAAGCCCTTGACCGCGCTACTCACTCGGCACTCTTGCCCCTCCTGGGCCTTGCTCCCCATGGTGACTGATTCAGGGGTTGCTGTCTTATCTCATCCAGGTTTATGGATCTATGCAGGCTAAGGGGTTGTGTTAGATTATACTACTCTTTTGTATCCTGCATTGATCCTATAAACCCTAGGATAGAGATAGGCACCCAAACTATGTTTGGGTGCACAACTAGGGTTAACCATAGTTGGGGGTTGGAACCCAACCTTGGTCCAATTATTGGCCTCCAAGGTTGGGTTGGGAGATTATTGGCCCCCCCAATAATGTTGGCCCACCTTTGGCCAACATTATTGGAACCCCCCAATAATTCTCCAACCCAACTTACTGGTGGGGGGCCAATAATGTTGGCTAGGTAACGAACCAACCCCCCTCTCCCCTAGCTTCCACTATGTAAACCCTCATGATTCCTAATCAAGTGACTGGTTCAATTCTAACAAACTAGGCGGCGAGCTCCCAGAATTATTGGTTGGTCAAAATTGTTGGTTACCCAATAATGGTTGGGGCGAGCCACAAATTATTGGCAGACCAATAATTGGTTGGCAAGGGCCACCAAAGTGGCCCCCAACAATTGTGGCGTAGAAGGTGTTTGGGGTGCCCCAAACCAAAGTGGTTGGGGCGCCTCGAACAAAGTGTACACCCAGAATGGGTGGTGTAGTAGAAATTCAAAAGACCACAAGCGGGAAGAGAAGAGAGCAAAGGACAGCCACAAAGGACTTACAGCTGGTATCTGGTCTCTGTGCGAGATGCAGAGGAGAATGCTTGTAGCGCGCGGCAGCTGCGTATTCTATTCTGTGCTGAGCTGTGCGCTGGGCTATGGCCCTTACACGCACAAATGAACGTCGAAGGATGCTTCGAGCCGGCTCAAAACTCACCATGCATACCACCTGACGCTACCTGCATGCATGCACACTAATCCGTACATACACCTTACAACACTTGAATCGACCATCGCTCGATCGAAACCAGTGTTTGTTGGAACACTCATCTTTAAGGATCAGCCAGCCACCCACCCACCCAGCGGTAAGGAAGACAGAGAAGGTGAGGATGAGGAAGCAAAGTGAAGGTGAGAGGCATGGATTGTACAGGTCCAGTGAGGGAGGCCAGTTGAGAGCCGACTTTCAGGCACTTCAAAACTCAAACATGAGAGGCCCTCAATAGAGGGGTTGAGGTTGAGAGCGGGGTGACGGTGATAAACAGAGAGGTTACAGGTCCAGCGAGCATGGTTGCAAGCAGCGTTTCAAAACTCGAGCCTTGACGTTGAAGCGTCTCCACAGAGGGGATGAGGTGGAGAAGGGAAGGGAATGAGGTTGGGAGACAGGGAGCTTACAGATCCAGTGAGGCAGGTTGAGAGTGGCGCCTCAAAACTGGAATTTCAAAGTTGAAGCGCCTCAACATAGGGGGGTTGAGATGGAGAAGGGAACGGAGTGAGGTTGAGAGACAGAGAGCTTACAGATCCAGTGAGGCAGGTTGAGAGTGGCGCCTCAAAACTGGAATCTCAAAGTTGAAGCGCCTCAACATAGGGGGGTTGAGATGGAGAAGGGACGGAGTGAGGTTGAGAGACAGAGAGCTTACAGATCCAGTGAGACTGGTTGCGAGCCGGGGAAGTGCCGAAAATTGTTCTGGGGGGCGGGGGTGAGGAATGGGAGGAGGGTGGAAATTAGAACTACTTTTGGGAATTCTTTATTTCCCAGTGAGACCAGTTGAGAGAACCCTCCTCACTGAGAGCTGAGCACTGGGAGGAGGCGCAAGTTTGACTGGGGGGATGGCAGGATTGAGTAATGAGTGAGTGGGGGAATGGGGGGAAGCGGGTAAGAGACGTGAGAAGACAAGAGAACAAAAGTGAAGGAGAAGCGGAGGTATCAGCAGATAAAATTCTGGGGGAATTGGGGATGGAGAGAAGGGGAGGAGGCGGAAAAAATACTCGTGTGGTTGATGATGCAAGGGGGAGAGTGCGTGCAAGTCCAACTCGCAATTTCTCTCCACCACCACCCTTCTCATCTCACCACTCTCAACCACTCTGCACATGCATCACCCTCAGTGCACGTACGGACTTGAGCCAGTGCAGAAGAGCTGCTACAGATCCATCTGCTTCTCCTCCAATATTACCCCTTCAGTCCTCCACTCCACCCCATTTAACCCTTCTTAACCACTCGCCCCCATCTCTGCACAGTTGTGCACCGCTTTGCATCACTCACCGCCCCTTCTTCCTGCACGTACCGACTTGAGTCCCGTGCACACGAGCTGCTGCAGCTCCCACTGCTGCTCCTCCGGTATTGCCGACCCCAGCACATCGTCAATCGTCATCTTCTTCTTGCCCTCCTCCTCCTTGCCCGCCTCCTGGACACACACATAACATTCAGATGATCGATGGTTGGTGGCACCTTTAAATCGCATCACCCAGCCAGCCCCAGCACATGGTCAATCCTCATCTGCTTCTTGCCCTAAACCTCCTTGCCCGCCTCCTGGACTGGGCGAACACACGCGGAAAGAGCACCATGCTGATTAGTGAATGCTGACAGCCCTTACGCACATCACTTCTATCAGCCAGGCCCAACACATGGTCATTTTCCTCTTGCCCACTTCCTCCTTCCTTGCCCCCTGGGCGGAAAGAAATAACAGCAGCAGCACACGGAGTGCCTGGAAACCACGCCGATGAAAGGATGAGCTTATCAGCACCACCACACCACCTCCACATGAGCAACGCACGAATCCGAACACGCTCGGTTCGAACCTTGCCGAACACCTCGGGTTTTCGAACCGAACATGATCGGTTCGTTCCAACAGTTTTGCGAGAACGGAATTACATGTTCGAGTGTTCGCCTTCAGAGGCAGGCGACGAACACTTTTATGTTCGCCCGAACATCTCATAAAGTCCGCGGCGAACTCGAACATGTTCGATTCGAGCGTGTGTCCTCGAACATGTTTATGCTAACGGCCCCCTCGCCCGCGCCCTCCTCGTCCATCTCATCAAGGGCCACGTTGAGGTCAAGGTCTCGGTCAAACATGGCCTTCCACTCGGGCGTGGACGTACCCACCCACCCACAGGGCGAGGGATATGTGGGGTGAACTTTGTGCTTTTATAAGAGCAACATGCCCACCAGCTGTTCGTGTAATCCACTCACAGGCTCTGGCAGGACGGCAGCGCCGCACTCCTCGTTGCCGTCGTCCCCTCCCCTCCCTCCCCCCCCCCCTTCAGCAGCCTCCTCGTCGTCCATCTCCAAGGCGACGTTAAGATCAAGGTCCAGGTCGAACGTGGCCTTCCCGTCCACACTCACCACCTGCTCGAGTGATCCACTCACCGGCTCTGGCAAAACAGCAGCGCCACACTCCTCCTTCCCGTCGTCCCCACCACCACCACCTGCGCCCCCACCCCGCCTCCTCCTCGTCCATCTCCAAGGCGACGTTGAGATCCAGGTAAAAGGTGGCCTTCCACTCGGGCGTGGGTGCACTATCCACCAACCCTTGCCAAACTTGCTGCACCACTCATTCAATGAGAGGGACCTACAGGAACAGATTCAAAGGGTGACAGGCTCACCGGCTCTGGCAGCACAGCAGCGCCACACTCCTCATTTCCATCATCGCCACCACCACTGCCTGAGCCCCCACCCGCGTCCTCCTCGTCCATCTCTAAGGCCACGTTGAGATCGAGGTCCAGGTCAAAGGTGGCCTTCCACTCGGGCGTGGGCGGGCAGATCACCGCCTCGGGGCGCCGCTCGTGGTAGAAGGTGAAGAGCGATTGAATGTACTCCTCCTTGTATATTCCTGGAGGGCGCGCCTCTGCGAATTCCGTTAGCCTCTGCATTCATGGAGCCGGGAAACAAGACGGACGGACGGAAATGAGTGGGTTTTAGGTTCATGAGAAGAGAGGGCGCAGCACTGGTGGTGGTAGGTAGAAGGAGAAGAACGACTGGATTGGTATATACTCCTCCTTGTATCTATGCAGGGGGCGTGCCACTGCGACTTTTGAGGCGCCTCAACTCAAAAGTCGACCGGATGTACTCCTCCTTGTGTCTGTCCAGCGGGCGTGGCTTCAGCAAATTCCGCGAGCCTCTGCAGTGGTGTGGGGGAGGGACGGGGAAGATGGACAGGTAGATGTGAGGCGGCTGGGAGGGAACAAGGCTGGTGGTACAAGGAGAAGAGCGAGTGCATGTACTCCTCCTTGTATCTGCCCGGTGGGCGAGCCACTGCGAATTCCACTAGCCGCTGCACTGGTGAGTGGGTGAAACAAGAGAGACGAACAGACATGGGTGGGGTTTGATGGGTGGGGATTGATGGGTGGGGTTTGAGGTGCAAGGGAGCAAAGCTGGTGGTAGAGGGAGAAGAGAGGCTGGATGTGATGTACTGCTCCTCCTTGGATTGGATTGCACATGCCCCAGGGACGGGCATGGGGAAGACAATGAATGAATGGACAACAGTGGGTATGAGCGGCAGTAAATATTGTGGGAGGAGAGGCAGAGTGACTCATACTCGTTGTGCATCCCATAATCCAGCAATGCCTCTGCCACACGCCACAATGCCTCTGCCACACGCCACAATGCCTCTGCCACACGCCATAATGCCTCTGCCACACGCCACAATGCCTGCCACACGCCACAATCACACGCCATACCTCTGCCACGTGCCCACCTCTGCCACGAGCCCACCTCTGGCACGTGCCCTCCCATGGCACGTGGCCTCCCATGGCGCGCATGAGCAAGTGGATGACCATGAACCCTGTGTGGTTGTGGTAGAGACTCATGAACACACATGACTAGCACATGGGGTTTTCACCATACCTCTGCCACGTGGCCACCTCTTCCACACCCACCATACCTCTGCCACGTGGCCCCCCATGGCGCGCATGAGCAAGTGGACGATCATGAAGCCCGTGCGGTTGTGCCCGTGCGTGCAGTGCACAATGATGCTCTTCTTGCGCTCTGTCGCGCGCATGTAGTCCAGCGCCTGCCGTGAGAGAGTGCGGAGAGAGTGCGAGGGATGGGGGGAAGGGGAGAGTGAGAGGGACTTTGAAGGGGCAGTGCAGTGCACCACGATGCACTTCTTTCCCTCCATGGCGCGCATGTAGTCCAGCGCCTGGCGACAGGAGGGGCAGGACAGGGGAGAGACAGCGGCGAGTGGGAGAGTGCAGAGTGCAGTCACCACGATGCATTTCTTGCGCTCTGTGGCGCGGCGCGCATGAAGTCCAGCGCCCGGCGAGAGAGAGAGAGAGAGAGAGAGAGAGAGAGAGAGAGAGAGAGAGAGAGAGAGAGAGAGAGAGAGAGAGAGAGAGAGAGAGAGAGAGAGAGAGAGAGAGAGGAATCCCTTAGCCCTCTGCCCTCTGCCTCATCCCTCTGCCCTCCAGAGCTATTTAAGGGCTGTCTCACCCTCCTTCTCCTCATTATTTTGTGTGGAGTTCATTTAAAGCTGCGGTTTAACGCAGCTCCTACCTCCTACGAAGCAGCGAAGCTTCTGACGGAGTACCGCCAGCGCTGGAGCGTGTGCCTCCAGCGGGCGCAGGCCAACGCCCTCCGCACCAAGACCAATGAGGCCTTGGTGGCGGACGAGCTCGGCTTTAGAGGACCCATCATCCCTCTCAGTGAGGGACAGCTGCACCAGTTGATTGAGGCCCCGTTCGACCAGTAGGGTCGGACAGGGGGGGGGGCTGAGTAGGTAGGGGACTTGAGATAGTTTGGATGCCGGTTTTTGTTGTGCTTGTGTGTTTGCACCTTCCGTTGTACCACCCCTCAAAGAAATGCAAGGACCATTCAAGAGAGAGAGAGGAATCCCTTAGCCCTCTGCCCTCTGCCTCATCCCTCTGCCCTCTGCCCTCCAGAGCTATTCAAGGGCTGTCTCACCCTCCTTCTCCTCATTATTTTGTGTGGAGTTCATTTTCGGTGGCTCGCGCCGGCGGCCTTCGGCCGCGCGCTCCTCGTGGCAAGGATTTCAAGCGACAGCATCAGAATAACGGGGTTCCAGCGCACATCAACAGGAAGGGAGAGGGGATCTACCTAAAAGGGCGACATGCAATACTACACGCGGCGGAAGCCTACATCGTGTACGGCTCCGCCCCCTCCACCTCAAGCATCGAACGCATGCACGTCGACACCGCCAGAAGGAGCTGCGCCGACGAATGAAGCGTGCGCACCGGGGTCCCCTCTTGGGCGGCCACAAGAAGATCCTCCACGTGGCGGGGGAACGTACGCGCTAAGGGCGCTACCCCGGCGGGCGCTTCTGACACGGGCGCCAATAGCGGGGCGAGGGCTTCTGCCCAGGTCACGCACGATCCTCGGGGACCTGGAGTGAAACTGCCCGGAGAGTTTCGCATGGCCCCACACACCGCCATCTTCAAGTTCGCCACCACCTCGCACGCCTCCGCAAGATTCAGCGTCCGGCACATGGTCAGCATGGGGTCTCTCCCCGCACGAGTGGGGGGAGGTGCAATCGGAGCCTCACGCTGATACGCTGTCTCCCGGCCCGGAAGTCGGCCTCCCGAGAAGGGCTGCGCGGAGAAGCCAGGGACCTGCCGAGGGGTGCGGAACAGCGCCCTCCCCTCCCGCGCGGGCAGATACTTGCTCAATACCGGCGCGCGCTGAGGGGCCGCGACGTCAGGGGCTAGGGCGTGAGAATGACCGTTGGTCACCTCGATGTGGACGTGAGTTGGCTCACCAGTCGCTCGCGCCTGGCGCATCGCCGCTGCAAACACATTCACGGCTTCACCAACCGCAGGATCCTCCCCTCGACCAGCTCCGCCGCGACCCGCTCCATTCCGCCGACCCCGACGGCCACCAGAGCCCGCCGAGTGCGGACGCGGGGGGGATTGCTCGCGGCGCCCAGAATCCCATCGTCGCCCAGGAGAACCCCTCCCCCGCCTCGCCGGAGATCGACGCGAGAGCGCTGCACGGGGGATCGCGCTCGCGGTGAGCGCTGGGCTGCCCGATCTTGGGGAGATCGGTGACGGGGAGAGCGGGGGCTCGCAGGCGACAGCTGATCGCCAGCTCCGAGGCAGCGAAGCTCGCGTTGACCAGGAGAGCGACGCCGAGGGGAACGTTGCTGCTGGGGCTGGCGCTGCGGCGATCGCCCACGCTCATGAGGCGGCTGTCCAACCGGACGATTCGACCCAACGCGGGCCGGCGCCCACGAATACTCAGGAGAGTTTGGGCGCGCGCTCGCCTGATGAGGCAGAGACAGCCCGCGCTCCAGACGCCGCACAGGCTCAGACGCGGATGGATGCGCAGGAGCGCGGAGACGGGGTGCAGCGGGCGCCTGAGGACGGGGACCCGCGCTGTCCGCCGTACTCTCTTGCGCGCGGTCGCGACCCGCGGAGGGGTCCATCACGCCCGAACGAACCGCCGCGGACGCCAGCGGGCCGTCAAAGGAGGGGCCTTGGTACCGCCTCGGCGCCACAACCGACATGCAATATTGCAGCGGCGGCCTCCGCGCAGCACGGAATCCGCGTAGGAAGAGGAGGGAGACGGGGTGGTCGTAGAGGAGGCGCTGCGGTTCAACGATGGGGCGCTAGTAGCTTCGCGAGGGCTGCTCACAGGATCCTGAGGGGAAGGGCTAGAGATGGGGAAGAATCGAGTGCAAGAACTCTGTGGGTAACCCTCTATTTAACCCTGAAAGAGAGGGTAGCCCCAGTCCTTCCCCCGAGTTAGAAGAGGCAGAGCAGGCTCGAGATGAGGACCGAACTCCAACACCGAGCCGAGCCGCATCTGCAATCCGAATTGGAAGACAGAGCCGAGTCGGGGGGGGAAACCGAGCCGCACAAATTGCAGATGGCACCCCAACTCGGGCCAATCAGCAGAGTGCAGATGCACCCACAGGCCTGCCCCTGTGCAGTGCAGGCGACCTGGCAAAACGCCAGGACCTTTTCGCTGATGTCGCAACCTGGGACCTACACCCCCTTCGTGACAGCAGGCAACCACCTCTCGCCCGTCACCCACCTCGCACTCATCGCGAATCTTTCGCAGCCTGCCTTCTCACCCCGCTGCTACACCTCGCAAAAGACCCTGACTCGCCCGCAGGCTGGAGACTGCTCATGTTCCTCCCACGCATCCTCTTGCGCACCTCATCAGCCAAGCGCCCAGATTGGTCGAAGGTAGGAGCCAGGCTGATAAGGTTCCGCCAAGGCCAGTGGCGGAGCCTGTACGACGAGGCGGCTGACGCAGTATCCCAACCACCCCAGCCACGCCATGCGCCAGACACCACAGGCATCCTGGCAATGGCAGAGGGACTCGCCAAACGAGGGAACCTAGCAAAATCCCTCCAATCCCTCACGGCCACGCCAGTCTCCCCCCCCTCAACTGACGTGCTTCGGGCTCTCTCAGCTCGACACCCCCCTGCGCGCCAATCCATCCCGGAGTGGGTGCCGGATTTCACCACAGAGTGCACCCCTTCAATCCCTCCACGCGACTTCAGACGCATTCTCGCCAAATGCCCGAACGGAGTGGGCGCTAGTCCCTCGAGGACCACCTTTGAACACCTGAGGGACGCAGCACTTGGGAATACGGACATCTTCCTGCAATTGCACGCACTCACAAACACGGCGTTAGCCGAAAAACTCAGCGCGGAAGCAGCAGAACTCCTCACTGCATCACGCTTACTTGCTTTCACGAAGCCCCATGGGGGCACACGGCCTATAGCAGTAGGCGAATGCCTGCTCAGATTAGTAGCAAAAGCGGCTCTATTCTTGGCGGCTGAGAGAGCACGCGATCACTTCGCACCGCTGCAATTCGGGGTGGCGGTAGCAGGAGGCATCGAGGCGGCGGTGCACACGGCAAGGACATACCTGGAGGAGAATGACGGGGCTGTGGCGCTACAAATCGACCTGGCAAACGCATTTAACGCGGTCGAGCGGGCAGCAGTGTTCGAAGGCCTCAAGGGGACCACCCTGGAATTCATGGTGCCCCTGGTCCGGCTCTCCTATGGTGTCCCCTCGGAACTGCACCTCGACCACGCGTTTCATGCCCCCCCCCTACAATCCGCACGCGGCGTACGCCAAGGGGATCCGCTGGGCCCGCTCCTCTTCGCCGCCAGCATTCACCCGTGCCTGGTAGCCGCGGCGGAGGCGCACCCAGGAGTCGTCATCCTCGCCTACGCGGACGACATTACGCTCTTGGGGGAAGCTGAGGCGTGCACAGAGGCATTCAATCACCTCACCAGGGCGCTGCTTCCCCTAGGCCTGGAACACAACCGCGAGAAGTGCGCAGCATGGTCGGCTGCGCACATTGACCCCGCCTCTCTTCCGCCGCATGTACCTTTCTCGGCGGACAGGATCCGCGTCCTTGGGAGCCCAATAGGCCCGCAGGCGGGATGCGCGGCGCTGGTACAGGAGCGCCTGTCAGCAGCAGCAGAGCCACTTCCGCTACTGTCACAAATGGACCCGCAGCTGTGCCTGCTACTCCTAACACGGTGCGTGAGCCGCCGCGCCTCCTACCTCGTCAGAACGATGCCCTTGGAGGTGCTGCCAGCGGACACCTGGTCAGAGTGGGGGGAGCAGCTGCTACACACTTACCCGACGGCGGCACACACGACGATACCCAGGGAGGAAGAAGAGCGGGGGAGAATCTGGCGGCAGGCCGCCCTGCCCGTGATGCTGGGCGGCCTCGGCATCACCAACCCAGCCACGGAAGGGGTGTTCGCTTACCTAGCCTCGGTCATTTCCACGGCCCACCTGCTGCGCTCGTTCGGCGACACGTTGCACCCCTCAATCGCCCAGATGCTGCCGCTACTAGATGCAGACGCGAACTCACCCTCGGTCCTGCCAAGGCGCCTCGCAGCGGCAGAAGCCACGCTGCCCCCAGATGGACTAGAAGCTCTACAGGCCGGCCGGCGCGGGACGGATGGCCCGAAGCTACAGCAGGCCCTGTCGCTGGCCGTCCACACAACCCGCTATATTGAGGTGCTCGATGCCTCGCGGGAGACGCCCCTGAACCCGCTCTACGGCCACACCCAACGCCTGCAGTCACTCCTCGGCCCCGGGGCGGGAGATTGGCTGCTAGCCATCCCCCTGGTCCCGGCTCTTCGCCTCGGCCCCTCGCAGCACTCCACTGCATCCTCCTTCCGCCTAGGCCTCCCCCTTCCCGTCCCTCGGCGCTGCGACTGCCGCCACCGCACGACCTTCCCTGACCACCGCCTACCCAATCACCTCATGCGTTGTGAGAAAGGCGGGGGGAGGATTGCCACTCACCATGCTCTTCGGGATGAGTGTGCGAAGATCGCAGCAGAGGCAGGCTACACGGTGCACAAGGAATCCACAGTGTACTCACCGGTCGAAAACCTCAAAGCGGACGTTTGCATCCGCCATCCCGACACCGGCGAAGTCCACATGTGCGACATCACCGTGACGGACCCGGTCTCTCACCAGGACGAGTTTGCGCGGAAGGCGCCTGGGTGGGCTGCAAGGATGCAAGCCGCCAAGAAAGAAGACAAGTACGCGCGGCGGAACGCGTGGGTGGGCTTCCATGCCATGGCGGTTCAGACGTACGGCTACCCGTCCCCGGGAGTGCACGCCTTCCTCCGCAGCTGCGCCGAGCTCGCGGGCAAGCGGCGGTTCAACGCTGCGCCAAAGTCAAGGGAGGTGGCCAGGCTCCTTACGGAGTACCGTCAGCGCTGGAGTGTCACACTCCAGCGCGCCCAGGCCAATGCCCTTCGCGACAAGACCCACGAGGCCATTGCCGCGGATGAGCTTGGCCTGCAAGGCCCGTTTGGCAGCCTGGGTGAGGAGCAGGTGCACCAGGTGCTGGAAGACCCCACAGGCCAGTAGGGCCGTGGGGAGAGGGGGTAGGAGTGGGATGAGTAGTGGTACCTTTGTGTGTTTTCTTGGTTGTTGGCTTGCCTGTTTGTCGTTTGATTGGCTTTCCAAGTACTTGGAAAGGCACAGCATCTGACCAGACCAGGAAACAAGTACTTGGAAAGGCACAGCATCTGACCAGACCAGGAAACAAGTACTTGGAAAGGCACAGCATCTGACCAGACCAGGAAACACGTACTTGGAAAGGCACAGCATCTGACCAGACCAGGAAACAAGTACTTGGAAAGGCACAGCATCTGACCAGACCAGGAAACAAGTACTTGGAAAGGCACAGCATCTGACCAGACCAGGAAACACGTACTTGGAAAGGCACAGCATCTGACCAGACCAGGAAACAAGTACTTGGAAAGGCACAGCATCTGACCAGACCAGGAAACAAGTACTTGGAGAGGTGGTGCTGGTGCAGGCCCGGTGAATGAGATGGGGCAAGAAAAGCCCATTCCCCGGCCCCCGACCGGGGAATGGGGGGTGCAGGTGGGGGACGGGGGAAGGGGTGTGCACGGCGGAATTGGAGAGGTCGTGCCGTGGCAGTGCAGTGCAGCAGCCAAACTTACGGGACACTTGTTGTGGGCCAGGCAAATGCGGTTAGACGAGTGTTGGTTCATAGACGAGGGAGGGTAGAGGAAGGGGAAGGAAGGGCACTCACCACATAGACAAAGCGGTTGACCGTCTCACTGTCTGGTACCTCGTCCCCACCCCTGCAGGCCAGCTGATGGCCTCCGCCGCACACAAGGTACGGGAGCGACATAGAAGAGGGGCGATACTCACCACATAGACAAAGCGGTTGACCGTCTCATCGTCTGGTACCTCGTCTCGCCCCCTGCAGGCCAGCTGGTGGTGGTGGTACACACAAGAAGGTGAGACACGGCAAGACAAGGTGAGGGACGCATAGACAGACAGGGAGGTGGGAGATGCAGAGCAGGGGGAAAGACGCAGAGAAGGCAGCAAATGTATTTACCCATGTGGCACGAGTGATATGAGGCAGGCAAGGCATGGGTGGGTGGGTGGTATCCTTAGTTGGTATTGTACGTTTACGGTGGTTTACGTTTACGTGACTTTACGTAGTAAACTTACGTTTACTTACGTGGGCTAAAAATGGCTTTACGTTTACGGTCAGCTAGAAACAGTTCTAACTGCCCGGAAATATAAGAAATCATCGGACTAAGTGGCTGCATGGGAAGCGCCTAATCTATCACTAGCTTGGTTCTTCTACGCCCAAGCATGTTAGCACAATATTACATCAACTTACAGATGCCCCAAATCTACACAAACATGTAGCAGCCTCTCCCACCTCATATCAGTCAGATTTTTTCGTTTCGCGGGCAAAAAAACTTTTTTTTGCCCTGCCCGTGCGACTTTACGTAAAATTACGCGTAAGAAAACGTAAAGGTAAACTCAAGCGTAAGTTTACGTTTACGTGACCCAAAAAAACGTAAAGTACCAACTAAGGTGGTATCCATGCATGGCAAGGCATGGGTGGGTGGGTGGTACCCATGCATGGCAAGGCATGGGTGGGTGGGTGGTATCCATGCATGGCAAGGCAGGTCTGGTGATTGAAGGAGCAACACATCCACGTTGCTCTGCCTCGCTCCCTCTCTACCGGACTGTGTGGGTGTGTGCGTGCGTTACCCACCCTCATCTGCTTAGCTTCACACGTGTTGCTCCCTTGTCTTCCTCACCCTCATTCATTCATTCTCACCCACTCACTCCATCACTTCGCTCGCTCGCTCGCTCGCTCGTTCTTTCGTTCGTACATTCGTTCATTCGTTCGTTCGTCTGTCCGTCCGTCCGTCCGTCCGTCCGTCCGTCCGTCCGTCCGTCCGTCCGTCCGTCCGTCCGTCCGTCCGTCCGTCCGTCCGTCCGTCCGTCCGTCCATCCGTCCATTCATTCACTCATTCAATCAATCACTCATTCAATCATTCACTCATTCAATCAATCACTCATTCAATCATTCACTCATTCACTCATTCATTCATCCATTCATCCATCCATCCATCCATCCATCCATCCATCCATCCATCCATCCATCCATCCATCCATCCATCCATCCATCCATCCATCCATCCATCCATCCATCCATCCATCCATCCATCCATCCATCCATCCATCCATCCATCCATCCATCCATCCATCCATCCATCCATCCATCCATCCATCCATTCATTCATTCATTCATTCATTCATTCATTCATTCATTCATTCATTCATTCATTCATTCATTCATTCATTCATTCATTCATTCATTCATTCATTCATTCAATCATTCACTCATTCAATCATTCACTCATTCAATCATTCACTCATTCACTCATTCAATCATTCACTCATTCAATCATTCACTCATTCACTCATTCAATCAATCACTCATTCAATCATTCACTCATTCACTCATTCATTCATCCATTCATCCATCCATCCATCCATCCATCCATCCATCCATCCATCCATCCATCCATCCATCCATCCATCCATCCATCCATCCATCCATCCATCCATCCATCCATCCATCCATCCATCCATCCATCCATCCATCCATCCATCCATCCATCCATCCATCCATCCATCCATCCATCCATTCATTCATTCATTCATTCATTCATTCATTCATTCATTCATTCATTCATTCATTCATTCATTCATTCATTCATTCATTCATTCTTTCTTTCTTTCTTTCTTTCTTTCTTTCATTCACTCATCCACTTCTCCCACCTGTATCGGCTCCTGTCAGTTTACTTGACACCACCGTACCCTTGCCGCCAGGCTTCTGATGCTTCGATTTCTACTTCTCTCGCTGCACCACGTGCTGCCATGCCTTGTTCTCTCACCTTGACGTATTTCACGTTGAGTTTGGCCCAGTCTTTTGGATTGTAGTAGCGCGTGGTGTTGGTCAGGTCGACCACCATCCCCACCTGCCATGCCAACATCACATCGCACACGAGAGAAGAGAGTCGCGCAAGGAAGCAAGAGCGGGCCGGTTATGCTTTTTAGTCGAGTCAAACAAGAAGCTTCGACCGGTCTTTTGGGTTGTTGTAGCGCGTGTCGTTGGTCAGGTTGATTGGTCACCAGCCCCCACCCACCTGCCAACATCACATACACACACGAGAGAAGAGAGCCGCGCAAGAAGCAAGGGCGGGCAGGAGCGGAACAGAGATACTTTTCGAGTCACGTCAAAAAGCTTCGAGCAGTCTTTGGGTTGTAGTAGCGCGTGCGTGGTGTTGGTTGGTGAGGTGGAACAATCACCAGCCCCACGTGTGATGGTCACATGAGAAAGGAAGAAAGGGGAGCCACGCCACGCAAGGAAGAAAGGGCGGACATTAGTCGGGCCAGAGATACTCTTTGAGTCGGCTCATAAAGCTTCGACCAGTCTTTTGGGTTGTAGTAGTAGCGCGTGGTGTTGGTGAGGTCGGACAATCACCAGCCCCACCCACGTATGTGATGAGTCGGTTTTTGAGTCGACTCAAAAACCGATCAATCACCGGCCCCACCAACGTGCGAAGATAGTTCGCAAACATCGCATTGCACGCACGAGAGGAGAGTTGCATTCACTTTTGGAAATTCGCAAAAGTGATCTCACCACCAGCAGCCAGCCCCACCTGCTAAGTTCCAAACATCACATCGCACACACGAGAGGAGAGTTGCAATGAAGCAACGGCATTCTTGAGTCGGCTCAAAGATAGTAGCTTCAAAAGAGAGAAGAGAGACGAGGTTCCTCAAAAACAGTAGCGCGCGTGGCAGTAGTGTTGATGAGGTGAGGCCGATCACAAGGCCAGCCCCACCCACCCACCGACGTGCGAAGTTCGTGAACATCACATCACACACGAGAGAAAAGAGTCGCAAGGAAACAAGGGCAGAACAGAGCAGATATATTTTTTAGCACACTCAACATCTTTTAGGGAGATCTCAGGAAATCCCAGGCCACCTGCGTGCGCAAAGATGGAAAAAGGGCTAAACGGAAAAGCAAACAAAGGCGGGCAGAAAATGACCGGAGATGCCACTGCAATGTTGGTGGTATTCGACTCACGCTCACGCATTTCACCCTAATGCCCTCTCTCCTCTTCCCTCCACTCCCCCCCTCTCTCCTCTCCCCCCCTCTCTCCTCTCCCCCCTATCTTTCCCCCCTCTCCCCCCCTCCTCTCTCTGTTCCTCCTCTCCACCACCACCACATCTTTCGTCGGGCTCCTCAAACGATGACTGCCTACTCACACAGCGGCTGTGTCACAGCCCTCTCACTACATCAACCCATTCACTCCATTCCCTCCCACACCATCTCCACACCATCTCCACACCACCTACGTCTTTCTTCATGCTCCGCGTCTGCCTGAGCGCCAGATCAGGCGACCTCTGCTTGCCTGCTCACACAACACATCCCTTATTACATACACACAAGCTCTCTCTTCCCCATATCACCACCACCCCCACCATCCCCACGCCACCTACATCTTTCTCCATGCTCCGTGTCTGCCCAAGCGCCACATCCAGCGTCCACTGCGTGTGTGTTGTGTTGTGCTGTGCTGTGCTCACACACACGACAACCTCGCTAACCGCATACATGCAGTCTCTCCCCCACCACCACCCTCACCATCCTCACCACCCTCATCACCCTCACCATCCTCACCACCCTCACCATCCTCACCACCCCCACGCCACCTACGTCTTTCTTCATGCTCCGCGTCTGCCTGAAAGCCACTTCGGGCGTCCTCCGCTTGCGTGCCGTGTTCACTTGCGAGCCTGCTAACTCCATACAATCCCCTTCCGTCCTCACCACCACCACACCACCCCCAACATCCCCCACACCACCGCCACATACGTCTTTCTTCATGCTACGTGTGTGCCGGAGAGCCACCTCCGGGGTCCACCGCTTGCCCGGCTCCACCAGCTCTCGGAACGCCTCCCCCAGCGGTGCCTTGGAGGGGATGAGCAGCCCAATGGCCTCGCCCATAGACGGGCAGTCCAGCCACCCTGAGGGGGGTAGGGAAGACGGAGGGAAAAAAGAAAAACCGTTAGAAAATACACAGGTGGAGGGGGAAAAGGGTTACCCGGCTCCACCAGCTCTCGGAACGCCTTCCCGAGCGGTACCTTGGCGGAGATGAGCATCCCAATGGCCTCGCCCATAGAGGGACAGTCGAGCCACCCTGAGGGGACAAGAGAGCAGGAAAACAAAAGGAGTAGACAGATCAGATCAGATCAAATCAGATCAAATCAGATCAGATCACGGACAGGTGGAGATACAAGCTAGTCTTTCCAGCTCCACCAGCTCTCTGGACGCCTCCCCCAGCGGCACCTTGGCGGGTAGAAGTGCAAACAGAGGACCGAGTAAAACTCGGCTCGTCTTGGTCAGGACTCGGCTGAAATGTTTTTCCGGTTTAGCTTGGGGGTGGACTCGGCAATCAGTCCATAATGGACGATCTATATGAAACTCGCTGAGTGCTTTACAAAAAACCCGGCGAGCCGAACAGAAACAACGACAACTTTATCTGATTTTAATTGAAACGTTAAAGTTGTTGGATCGCATGGCAAACTGACGCTGGCAAAACATACACGATGGAAGGTGAGACGAAATATTGCTTACTATCTGCTGACGATACTAAACAGTGATTCGTCTTACCTTCCATCGTGAACGTCTTTCAAGCGTCAGATGCTCATGCAATCCAACAACATTGCGTCTGAAATGTAATCAACTTCCCATTACGAACACATGTATCGAAAAAACGCCACTCGTTTGGCTGTGTCGAAGGCATACGCTGATTACGAATAGCTATTAGGCCGCGACACGTTGGAAGGATGCTTCTAAAGCAGAAGCCTAATACTGTAGTGTTCGTTTTCTGTCATACGAAGCACCTCGCAAAATGTAGCGGCAACTTCTTTTTGAAACTCGCGAGTCCAATAAAACCCACGCAGCGTGCGCAAGTCTCCAACGAGTTTGAAAAAAAACGTCGAGTGAAATGAAACTCGGCTCGCATCGGCCGAGTTTTTCCAGCCGATCATCGCACTCGTCACTCGTCCCTAGACGAGTGCAGGGAACGAGTCGAGATTTAAAACTCGTCCAAATGCACATGCCTGCCTGCGTGCGTGCGCACATGATGGCGATGAGCAGCCCCACCCCATGGCCTCGCCTCGCCCATAGACGGGCGCGCAATCCACCCTCGTGGGGAGGAAGCACCACAACAAAAAAACGTTGGAAAAAAGACAGGTGGAGGAAGAAAAGGGGGGGTTGCCCCGCTCCACTAGGTCCCTAAACGCCTCTCCTAGCAGTAGCAGCCAAAAACGAGACAGACTCACTGGTCATCACCAATTGGGGGAAAATTGAAGGTTTCTGGGCCGATTGGAACAGACTATCACGCAGGGGTGCTTTTGAGTCGGTCATACCCCGAATGGGTTACGGGACATACCATCACGCAGAACTGAACAGAACGGCACGTACCATCAGGTAGGGGCCCACAGGACGGCCTCCTCTGACCCCCAGACGCTCGGTGCTCCGACCCGCCACCCTCCCCATGGTACCCATTACCCCCACCCCCACCACCACCCCCACCGCCACCACCACCGAATCCAGCGCCAGCGCCGTCAGCGGCTCGCCTCTGGCGCGCTGACGGGCGGCCCTCCTTCTCCTCGCGCTCCAAGTTCTTGCGCTTCATCATCAGCATCCTCTCCTGCCGCTCCTGCTCATGGAAAGCAGCACGGTGACATGCAAAAAGGTGACACGTGAGGGATGCACATATCTCCTCTCTTGCCTCTCATGGAATCATCAGCATCCTCTCCTGCCGCTCCTGCTCATCAGGTACTAACGCTCCGTCCTCTTCCTCTTTGTCACCAGCATCCGCTCCCCTTGCTCCTGGGGATGAGAAGGGGAACACCTAATCCTCTTTCCACTGTATCTGAAACCTCCTCACGCTTCCCGCTCCTCCGTTTCAAACCAGCTCCCCCCAGCACCCCGCAGCTCCCCCCAGCTCCCCGCAGCTCTCCCCAGCTCCCCGCGCCTCCCCCCAGCTCCCCGTAGCTCCCCCCAGCTCCCCGCAGTTCCCCCCAGCTCTCCCCTGAATGCGAAAGGCTGTAGACGCTGAGGTCGTGGTAAAACAATTTGCATATGTTTTTAATCCGGGCTGCATGAGCCTTTGCAAAGGAAACCACGCGCTGCTAGCCGAGACTTCCGGAGCAACCTTGCCTTTGAAGTTGGTGTCACACACAAGCTTTTGCGATAACTCGAGAAATTAAAGCCCTCCGTTCTTCTCAATCATCCCTACGAGCTCCAAACGGCATCCACGGCTAAGCGCGGAGATAAGCGGAGTAGTTAAGAAAGGCGTGCATGCGATAGTGTGACGAAGAGTGCAAGAAAACGGGATAGGAAGTGTGTGCATGTTGTGGAACGACACAAAACCTAAATGGTAGACGCTTTCCTACTATAACAGCACCTGCGTCCTTCACGTTGATACGGCGGGTGCTCTCTGTTGTGAAACGACATGGCGCCTAAATGGCGAACGGTTTCCATGACAGCATCTGTGTCCTTCTATAAGTTATAACACGCAGCTGCGCACATCTTCCCATCTCGCTAATCCCAGACGACGCTAAACTTAGCCTTGAGACACAGAATCAGTATCGGTGGTGATTGCGTACCCGCATATACACCGCAGAAACGGACTCTTCGCCGCCATTTTGCTCCTCTTGATCCATGCTTGCAGGCCTCTAGTCCAATAAAGTCATAAAGCAGCGAAATAACGTCTGCCTATAATTCTTTTCCTGAAATCCTCCTGGTTTTGGTAGGTGCTTAGGTAAGGGAAGCCACGCCGCCTAGGCCTAGCCCTTGAAGCCAGATACTGAAAAGGAGCTTGTGTGTTTGGGGTATATTCCGTTTCTGACACCTCCACGCACGCTCAAACATGCATGTGGTGGGGAGAAAATGTTACAGCAGGTAACCAGGGCGCGTAGTAGAGTTTGTATGAAACGCTCTTTATATGCTACGTGAAGGAATGCGTCGGATAGTTCCTTACTTCGCGTCCCTGCTCAGCGCGTACACCACTGTTCCCGCCAACAACTCCCAACACTGCACCGTTACCACTCGCGACACTCGCCTCAACCACTATTCCGCCACTGTTCACGAAGCGACCCAGCCTCACGGTTCGGCTCGTAACACGCGCTCCTGACCTTCGCCTCGACAATTCCCAACCTCGGCGCTGTTGGGAACAAATAAGTTAAGCGCCTCTGTCGTGTCAGAACTCAAGACACAAAGCGAAGCAGCTCAAGTCGAAGCATCGCGAGTCAACCCTTGGTGGTTAACGTAACCGTCGGAGGTTACGAGAAAGTCAAAGGTCAGCGACCTTTGACCTGACGCAGCGCGACAGCAAGGACAAACAACTGACTCGACATTGAGCAGTTGCCCGAGTCGCACTGTATCGAACCGCAACAGTAAAAGTAGTTATAATGTCTGTGGAAAATAGAGCGAGAATGAATGAACTATGAGTGAAGTGAGTACAAATAGCAAAACCCTAATTGGGTTGTACCCCCTATGGTATACCCCACTGTAGCCTACACAACAGCATAAGCTACATATATGTTCAGACACACCCCCATAGGCAAAGTGTGTCAGAACATATATGTAGCTTATGCTGTTGTGTAGGCTACAGTGGGGTATCCCATAGGAGGTACAACCCAATGAGGGTTTTGCTATTTGTACCCAACTCTTTCATAGTGCATTCATTCTCGTTCTATTTTCCACATGGTATCAGAGCAGGTTCCCCCGTGGGAACTGTGCTTAGGGCCCACCACTTTTAAACTTTTTTTTCTGCCCGGAGCGCGCTCCGGGCCCTCGCTCTCACTCTTTCGGCCTGCCCTGCGGCCCCCTAGCCGCCCGCGCGCCGCTTGTCCCGGCCCCTAGCCGCTCGCGCGCCGCCCGTTCAGGCCCCTAGCCGCCCGCGCGCCGCCCGTCCCGGCCCCTAGCCGCTCACGCGCCGCCCGTTCAGGCCCCTAGCCGCCCGCGCGCCGCCCGTCCCGGCCCCTAGCCGCTCGCGCGCCGCCCGTTCAGGCCCCAAGCCACCCGCGCGCACCCGTCCCGGCCCCTAGCCACCCGCGCGCGCCCGTCCCGGCCCCTCACCGCCCGCGCGCCGCCCGACCCGGCCCCAGGCCGCCCTGTGCCGCTCGCCCCGGCCGCGCTCTCCTGTCTCGGCCCCTCGGCGCCAGCACGCCACCCGTCCTGGCCCCTCACCCGTCCCGGCCTCACACCGCCCGTGCGCCGCCCGTCCCTGCTGCACGCCGCCGTCCCGGCCCCCCACGCCGCCCGTTAGCCGCCGTGCAGCCTGAGCCGCCCGAGCCGTCTGCGCAGCTGAGGAGCCGAGCCGCCCGAGCCGCCTCTGCCGCTGACAGCCTGAGCCGCCCGAGCCGCCCGAGCCGCCTCCCCCCCCCCCCCCCTTTTCCCGTCGCCTGTCGAGGCGACCTGAGGGGGCCGCTTGCGGTGGTCTCCCCTGCTTCTCCTCCTCCTTCGTCTCGAGCCGCCCTTCAGCCGAGCCGCCGAGCCGCCGAGCCGCTTTACACCCGAGCCTCCCAGCAGCCGAGCCGCCCTGCAGCCGAGCCGCTCTACACCCGAGCCTCCCAGCAGCCGAGCCGCCCTACAGCCGCGCCGCCGGGTCGCCGAGCTGCCGAGCTGCAGTTGCTGCCGAGCCGCCCTGCCGCCGAGCCGCCCGAGTCGCCCGAGCCGCAGAGCCGCCGTGCTGCCGAGCCTCTGAGTCGCCGAGCCTACTCTACCCACCACTGGTGAGCCCTTGCCCTGCTAGCACGCTGCGCGTCGCCTGCTTGCCTGCCTGCCTCCCTTTTTGGCTTGCCTGGCTGCCTGCCTTACTGCTGCTACTCCTGCTCCTGCCTCTACTGGTGGAGCCAGATGCGGCCCCATCGACGTCTGCGTGAGTCCCTCACGCCCCAGCAGCTGCGTGAGTGGTACGCTGGTTGGGGCTGTAGGGGTGGTGGCGCTACTACTGCTACCACTCCTGCTGCTTCTACTACTGGTGGCGGCCAGATGCAGCTCCCGCGACCCCCCCGCGCGTCTCTCACGCCTCAGCAGCTTCGTGAGTGGTACGCTCAGAGTGGAGGGTCTCTCAGTTCTGTTCGCTGCTCTTACGTGATTCTTACTGGTGCTCGGACTGGTCAGCCTTGTGGGACACCTAGTCATACACAGTCCCGCTGCTTCGCCCGTCTGAGCGACGCCTGGCGTACCGTGTTTGGCGACGAGGCTGAGCTCCCCGACTGGGTGGAGTTGCTTAGGCAGAGGGTAGATATATTTGCTCTTGACTATGATGCTATTCTCACTGCCATGTATGCATTGCCTACTAGTGCTGACCGTGCCGGTCACCTGTGCGTCCCGCCTGACCCGGGTATAGGACCTGCTGCTCTAGCTACTGGTGAGGCTGCTGCTGCTCTGGGTGCTAGTGAGTCTCCTGCTCCGCATGCATCATGCACGTACGAGCGACATCCATGACCATGCCAATGCGGCGCTCAGCAATCCCATTTTGCTGTGGAGAGTCCGGAAGCGTAAAGGTCTGGCGGATCCCCTGTGCACGACAGTAGTCTCGCAGAAGGCGAGAGGAGAACTCCCCACCTCGGTCAGAGTGCAGACGCAGAACAGGAAAGTCCGAGCCGAAGCTCCTCCTGAGCTGGAGACGAGCCTCGCGGATCCAGTCGATCAGCACCTCAGTGACAGCACCCTTGCTGCGCAAGGGGAAGACTGTGGTGTAACGCGAGTAGTCGTCAACCACCAACAGGAAGTAGCGCTCGTGACCCTGCCCACGGACGGGGGCCGGGCCCCACACGTCCATGTGAAGTGTCTGCAGAGAAGCCTCTGTCGGGGGAAACTGGGAGGAGTGAGGAGCAGCCCTGAGGCGCCCCTCGACACAGGGGACACAGGAAGGTCCTGGTCCCGAAGGAAGGGGAGGGAGAGACTGGGGAAGACCAGAGACAAGGACACGGGAAGCCATGCCCCGAAGGCGGGGCAAGGAGGGGTGGCCAAGACGGTGGTGCCACAGGAGAGTCTCGTGAGACAGGAGGCGACACGAGCAGGGGGCAGACTCAGGACCAGGCCCGGACGCAGCAGCAAACACCTGACCTGACGCTGCTACCTGACCGGACGCAGGGACAGGAGGAGACTCAGTGGTCAGGGTGTAGAGGCTCGACCCCGGCCGACGCGAGAACGTGGCCAGGTGCCGGCCTGTGCGTGCGTCCGTGCAGTGGGTCACCCGCTGACTCGCAGGAGTGAACTGGTGAACCCCCGCATCCTGCAGGTCTGCACCACTCACCAAGTTCGTCAAGAACGAGGGGAGGTACAGGCCAGACAGGGTGCCCGAGGGGGCAGCCGGACACGGGAGGACAGTGCAGAAGTGAGCGAGGACAGGACCCCCAGAGGGGTCAGCCAGGGAGACTGCAACCGGCCGACCAAGCGGCGTGAGTGTGGTGCGGTCCCGAAAGAAGGAGCGAGAAGCCCCAGAGTCAAGTGTAAAGGTGAGGGAGGCCGAAGCCAACGCGGTACCTGAGAGCGCAGCCTCACCCGCACCTGAGGAAGCAGACTCACTAGCACCTAGAGCAGCAGCCGCACCTGTACCTGGAGCAGGAGACTCACTAGCACCCAGAGCAGCAGCAGCCTCACCAGTAGCTAGAGCAGCAGGTCCTATACCCGGGTCAGGCGGGACGCACAGGTGACCGGCACGGTCAGCACTAGTAGGCAATGCATACATGGCAGTGAGAATAGCATCATAGTCAAGAGCAAATATATCTACCCTCTGCCTAAGCAACTCCACCCAGTCGGGGAGCTCAGCCTCGTCGCCAAACACGGTACGCCAGGCGTCGCTCAGACGGGCGAAGCAGCGGGACTGTGTATGACTAGGTGTCCCACAAGGCTGACCAGTCCGAGCACCAGTGAGAATCACGTAAGAGCAGCGAACAGAACTAAGAGACCCTCCACTCTGAGCGTACCACTCACGAAGCTGCTGAGGCGTGAGAGACGCGCGGGGGGGTCGCGGGAGCTGCATCTGGCCGCCACCAGTAGTAGAAGCAGCAGGAGTGGTAGCACTAGTAGCGCCACCACCCCTACAGCCCCAACCAGCGTACCACTCACGCAGCTGCTGGGGCGTGAGGGACTCACGCAGACGTCGATGGGGCCGCATCTGGCTCCACCAGTAGAGGCAGGAGAAGGAGTAGCAGCAGTAAGGCAGGCAGCCAGACAAGCCAAAAAGGGAGGCAGGCAGGCAAGCAGGCGACGCGCAGCGTGCTAGTAGGGCAGGGGCTCACCAGTGGTGGGTAGAGTAGGCTCGGCGACTCAGAGGCTCGGCAGCACGGCGGCTCTGCGGCTCGGGCGACTCGGGCGGCTCGGCGGCAGGGCGGCTCGGCAGCAACTGCAGCTCGGCAGCTCGGCGACCCGGCGGCGCGGCTGTAGGGCGGCTCGGCTGCTGGGAGGCTCGGGTGTAGAGCGGCTCGGCTGCAGGGCGGCTCGGCTGCTGGGAGGCTCGGGTGTAAAGCGGCTCGGCGGCTCGGCGGCTCGGCTGCAGGGCGGCTCGAGACGAAGGAGGAGGAGAAGCAGGGGAGACCACCGCAAGCGGCCCCCTCAGGTCGCCTCGACAGGCGACGGGAAAAGGGGGGGGGGGAGG